AGCTGGTTCATGAGAAACCTGCAGAGAGCAGGAGAAGGGGAATATTTCACAGAGGATTTGCTCTAGAGGTCAAATCTGACAGTGGAACAGGTTTGGGAAGATTCATGCTCATTAACCTTCATGGTCTGGAGAGCTCTGGGTGAAGGCAGCTGGGGACATATTCATTCCTGGTACTGACTGGTCTCTCTTTTACTCTTCCAGACTCGGAATATCCTTGGACTACGACGCCTGTTACGCTCTCTCTTCCGTTCTCGGACGCACTTGCCTCTGCTAGCGGCCATGTATCTGCTTGCCCTCCATGTCCTTCTCTTCCTGTGCTTTACAGGCTACCTATGAACAGGAATAACAGTCTTTTCTGGAGCCACAGCCCTCCTTGTAATGAGGGCTTGCATTCTATATGGACACGGTAGCGCTTCACTTAACTGCCTTCTTTTTCCAAGTCAGCCCGTAAGGAGCAGCTGCAGCCAGCACCTTGTGCCTAGGTTGGTTGCTGTCCAAGTATGCAGCAGCCAGGGCTGATGCTTGGGATCTGTTTCCAGGACATATGCCATTCCTTCGGTGTTTTAAATGAGTGGTATGTTTTCTAAGCCAGGGTCCTCATGCTACAGGCTTCAAGGATAGCATTTCTTCCTGTACCTGGAGGTAGCACCACTCATTTTAGATAGTATTGTGCTGTGGTAGGAATAAGAAAAATATTCTTGAATTGCTGCAGTACTACAGCACTTCTAGGAACTGCAGAACCTTCCCGCTCTTAGACCGGTCAGTGAGTTGGGTTGGGGAAACCCTGCAGCTAGGTACAAGAAAGAGCAGCTTCTTCTCTTTCTTCCATCCCTTAGATTTGCTCCGTGGCTCAGTGCTGCTTAACAATGCACATCCTAAGGAAGTTGTGGACACTTTTAAGGAACATGAATTGAATTGCAAAATTGTGATTCCTGCTTAGTTGCATCTCCTGTTGAAAAAAGGCCAGAATTAGTATATCCAGACCTGCTGAGCGTTCCATTTAGAAGCAGTCATATGTCTGCCCTGACAAGCTTGTAAAATAATGCCAGTAACTTAGCTATTGAAAAGGAATAGGAAAAAACTTTTTAGCTCTAAGTGATGGAAGGTGCTTGCATACCTCTTGAAATCAGAGCAGCCATGCTCCAGCATTCTAATCCACTGAAGCCTTGCCACAAGATTAAACCTGTGCAGGCTGTGTTTAAGGGTTCCGGAATGTGGAATGTGGGCCCAAATCAAAAGCAGAAGCTCCAGAAATAAGCTGTTTTCCCTATGCTGAGGAGGGGACTGCAATTTCAAAACCTTCTGACATCTCTGCGTTAGGAAAAGTCTATTGTAGAAAGCTAGTGCTGGTCATTGGATCTAAAGCAAACTGATGTAAATGGACTTGATCTTATTTCATACATGGAAAGCTGTCTTTTCTAAAGAGCTCTTGAGTATGTCCTGGAATTGAGACCACCCTGTTCCAAGGGGAGAATGCTGAATGCAAAGAAGATAGCTCCAGTTAAGTTCCCTGTCAAGAGACCAAGTGGTCATTCTGTTCAGAGTACTTGCTAGGATTCTGTTTGCCTCTTACTATAGCATTAACAGTCATGTTTTTTTCCCGTGGGAAAGAAATAATGCTTCTGATATTGCTGTTAAAGTAAGATTTCTCTAGCCAGTAAACAAAGCCTGTTTGAGGCTGACATGATTTCATCATGGTAAAATAACTGGATTTCTGGCAGGTCCAGAACATTGGCATTACATATCCATTTGTGCACTACCCTTGATTATCTGTGTGGGCTTCCTCAACTTTATAAAATTGAGAGACCAAATACTTTGCCTATAGCTTCCTGGGACATGTATATATAATAAAAATTATTTTTCTGGTGAAATTTGTATATTATTGTCATGTAAGGTCTGCTGACGGGTATGGAGCTGCTGTATCATAACTTTTACAAGATCATCACAGGACTGTAGGTCACTTTTGTGTACACTTCCTTGTACGCTGATAGCAGAAGCTCTGTTTCTTCGTATTATTTGAATGCCTCTGGAGATTACCTTTTTCTTCTGTCTCACCTCTCCCTCAGCCTTTTTCAGCTTTTACTGCCATGACGAAAGAACAAAATAGCACTTTAATAATGAAAGCAATTTCAGTAAAACAAGACCTGCTTGGATTTGCTTGTCTTTGCATTTGGGCATATTTCATAGAATCATAGTACAGTTAGGATTGGGAAGGACTTTAACATCACCCAGTTCCAACTCCCCCAGCCATGGACAGGGACACCTCACACTAAACCATCTCATCCAAGGCTCTGTCCAGGCAGGCCTTGAACACCACCAGGGATGGAGCATTCACAACCTGGCCTCACCACCATCACAGTAAAAAACTTCTTCCTTATATCCAATCTAAACTTCCTGTTACAGTTTGAACCCATTACACCTTGTCCTACCACTACAGTCCCTAATGAAGAATCCCTCCCCAGCATCCTTATAGGCCCCCTTCAGACATCAGAAGACTTCCATGATGTCTCCACACAGCTCTTCTTCTCCAGGCTGAACAGCCCCAACTTTCTCAGCCTGTCTTCATACAGGAGGTGCTCCAGTCCCCTGATCATCCTCGTGGCCTCCTCTGGACTTGTTCCAGCAGTTCCATGTCCTTTTTATGCTGAGGACACCAGAACTGCACACAGTGCTCCAGGTGAGGTCTCTCAAGAGCAGAGCAGAGGGGCAGGATCACCACCTTCGACCTGCTGATCACGCTCCCCTTGATGCAGCCCAGGATACGGTTGCTTTCTGGGCTGCAAGCGCACACTGAAGCTGGCTCATGTTCATTTTCTCATCGACCAGCACCCCCAAGTCCTTCTCCGCAGGGCTGCTCTGAATCTCTTCTCTGCCCAGCCTGTAGCTGTGCCTGGGATTGCTCCGACCCAGCTGTAGGACCTTGCACTTGGCATGGTTAAACTTCATGAGGTTGGCATCAGCCCACCTCACAAGCGTGTCGAGGTCCCTCTGGATGGCATTCCTTCCCTCCAGGGTATCAACTGAATCACACAGCTTGGTGTCATCGGCAAACTTGCTGAGGGTGCATTCAATCCCACTGTCCATGTCAGCGACAAAGATGTTGAACAAGACCGGTCCCAACACCGATCCCTGAGGGACACCACTCATTACTGGTCTCCAGCCAGACATTGAGCCATTGACCACAACTCTTTGTGTGCGGCCATCCAGCCAGTTCTTTATCCACCGAGTGGTCCATCCATCAAATTGATGTCTCCAATTTAGAGACAAGGATGTCATGTGGGACAGTGTCGAATGCTTTGCACAATTCCAGGTAGATGACATCAACTGCTCTACCCCTGTCCATCAGTTCCATAGCCCCATCATAGAAGGCCACCAAATTGGTCAGGCAGGATTTCCCCTTAGTGAAGCCATGTTGGCTGTAACCAAGCACCTTGTTTTTCAGGTCATGAGATCCCTGAAATGAGGATCTATCTCAGCTGGATCAGGACTGCAGGGGGGGTCTCCCCAGAGCACAGCAGAGGGGGAGAATCCCCTCCCTGAGCTGCTGCTCATGCTCTGGGGGTGCAACCCAGCATCCGGTGGGGGGGAGGGGGTGGTTCTGAGCTGTGTGCAGGACCTTGCACTTGTCCTTCTTGAACTTGTTGAACTCCATGAGGTTCACACAGTCCCACCTCTCCAGCCTGTCCAGGTCCCTCTGGATCCCATCCTTTCCCTCCAGCCTGTCGATCACACCACACACCATGATGTCATCAACAAACTTGCTGAGGGTGCTCAATCCCACTATCCATGTCACTGATAAGGATTTTAAACAGCACCAGTCCCAGTACTCACCCCTATGGAACACTATTTGTCCCTGGCCACTATGTGGACATTGAGCAATTGACCTTGGCTCTTTTTGAATGTGACCATCCAGCCAATTCCTTATTCACCAAGTGGTCCGTGCATCAAATCCAGGCCTCTCCAGTTTAGAGACAACACTATTGTGCAGTGTAGTATTAAATTAGGAACCATTTCTTTACCAAGAGGGTGATCACACACTGGAAGAGGCTTCCTGGAGAGATGCCCAAAGCTTGTCAGTGTTTAACAGGCACTGGGACAATGTCTTTAACATGGAAAATGCTTTAACTTTTGGTCAGCCATGAAGTAGTCAGGCACTAGGTGATCACTGTAGGTCTCTTCCGACTGAACTATTCTACTCTGTTCTATTCTAAGCCCTGTATGTTTTGCCATTGTGTCAATCAGAAATGACTCCTCCAGGAGCTTTTCTTGTTTTGCTCATTCGGTAAGGATGTTATTTTGTTTTGAGATGTTTATCTAGTGTTAAACTAGTGTGATTCATGCTACTCATTCCAAATGTGCACTTCCCATCAGTAAGCACTGTACCAAAGAGTTTGATCTGTAAGTGCATAGGATTCTTTAACTACATGCTTTCCCTCTTCCTAGTTTAATCTCCATTTTTTTGTTGTGTTTTTTTTTTTTTCTGGTCCTGGAAGATCTTTCATGTATATGTAATACATGGAATGTGTAATACCTGTATATACATATATGTGTAATACCTGGAATACATGTATGGAATACCTGGAATACATGTATGTGTAATACCTGGAAGATCTTTCATGTATGTCTGTCTGTCAGTCTGTCTGTATATATATTTTTAATTGTGTTTTAAAGCACTGAGTCAAATTCCATAACAAGTTCTGTAAGCAGTAGCTTGCTTTCTTTGGATCTCCTTGTAACTGAAGCCCAAGGGCTTCAGCCTTTTAACTCTCTTGTACTCTTATGGCAGAATGGTTTTCTGGAAGAGCTGAAGATGGAAATCACAATCTGGTTTTGCACACTAAGAAATGTAATTGTGCCCCATCCAGCACTACGCACGGAGTCAGCAGTTTGGATCCTTGGTATAAGCCTTGTCAGTCCCACAGAGCACAGGCAGCATGCAAGGGAACCACAGCCACCAGGGCAGGTTTTGGTGCTCATAACTGAGCAGAACTGGGGGCTGGGACACAGGAAGTGAAGATAGCTGAAGCTAAACCAGGAACTCAGAGTCAGCCATAGTCCAAAAGCTGCTGCGACCAACAGGTGCCTGAGCAGAAAGCAGCAAGTTTGCCAGCAGGAGCTGGTGCACCTTTAAGGTAAGAAAGCTGAGTGGGGGCTGAGAATGGAAAGTGAGAAACATCAAAAAATGTAGGGTTTTGGTGGGCAAAGAGCACTCCTTCCTTCCTGACGCAGCTTGTGTGAGCTGATAGTGCTCAGCTTTTGCTTCTCAGTCTGTTCTTTGGTCATCCTAGTTCCTCTTGTGCTTGAGGCTCTGAAGAAACATGCTTCTAAGTCAACCAGTATGACTGTGTTGGTGTGGCAGCCCTTGTATTTGTGCTGTAGTGGATACTTTCAGGGGGAAAAATGGAATGGAACAAACTGAAGGTTTGAGCTGTTACTCTGATGTTCATCATTACAGAGAGTATCTGGAGCCTTGTCGTGTGATTAGAGTCTGAGGTTTGTCATGGTTCCCAAGATGCATGGTGGCTGGCTGTGGACAAGAGGCGGTCAAGACCCATTTACAGTTGTCTTTAAAATCCTGAAGCACCTGCACCTGAGCTAGCTGCTCAAAGAACTGCCCTGTGGACCAGTCCTGTGCCAGCTGGATACTGCTCTTGAGTTATCCTTAACAAAAAATGAGACACAAGCTTTCAAAATCTTTGGAGTGAGAGATGCCAATAAATTACTGAGGGGCATTTATCATGCTATATATTGTCCACATGAGCCTTCCTACTTCACCTGCTTCTATTTGCAATTGACTATATTCAGTTTGTCATAAGATTAGTGTCAATGCATACACACACAGCGGAATTATGCTGCAGACCTGCTGTGTTCTGCTGTGCTCTTTCAGTTTCTGTTGTCTTTGCTCTCCAGTCTTACACTGTGGATTCTCTAGACAGTTGGTAAGGGTAGCTTGCAACTGAACTGAGCAGTGCACTGTGCTGAACTGGAAGGTGATTCACTTGACAGCTTTTTGTGTTGTACAATCAATGACTTGTTCAGCATAAGCATTTTCTTGCACAGAAAGCAACTGTCCTGGGCACTTGGGGCTAGTTTGTACTGTATGGTTGTAGCATTCAGGAGTTAGTGGTGTCAAGAAGCACTTAATAAAAATGTGCTGTTAAATGAGGATCCATCACAAAGTTCTTCCCTCCTGTTGGTTTGTTTACAGGTTTATGTGATGTTTGCAGTGATGTGAAATAGGGCTCAGCAGCCTCATCTTAGCTGCACATTCTCATTCTGATCCATCTTTGTCTCTGCCCCAGTGAAAAGCTGCTTTGAGCATCAGTAAGAACAACAGAGCTCCTCAGCACCACAGGCGGTAATAGGTGGTGGGATGTGAGAGCTCTGCTGAGAATGGTGGCTCTGTTGTGCAGGGGCAAGCAAACTGTTTCATCATCTGTTTCTCATTTTGTATGAACTGTGTTGTTTGGAAGGCACCTTTTCATCGTGTTTTTTCACTGTCACCTTGAAAATGAAATGCAGGAGTTTTAGATTTCACATTACTTTTATTTAACTTCCTCTTCATGGGCCTATCACTTCCTCCAGGCTTCTCTGGACACCCTGTACAAGCCACAGCACAGCAGCTTCAGCCTTTTCTGCCCTGCACACTTTAGGATTTTAGCCCGTTTTTATCCCCCAACAGACATAAACCCCACACAGTGCACTGTACCAGCATTGTCAGAGCACATGCAGCTTTTCTCTGAACCTTCTCTAGCACACTAGGCAGTGATGAAAAGGTTGGAAAACACACAAACTTGAGTCCAACCTCAGGTAAATAAGCATTGCATCATGGTGGCAGAAAGGAAGTTAAAGCAGGGAACTGTACTTTACTAGTACTAATTTGCATTAGAATACGGTGTGCATTTGAACTGTGGAGTCAGTGTGCCTGAGGACTGTGGTTTTCACTTAGTGTTTTACGGAAGAGGTGCTGGGGCTCAAAAGTTAACTATTTTGGGTGCCTTGCACTGTGTGAGAGACTGAGACTAGCAAGGCAGATGCAAGGGGTCCTTTCCAGCCAAGTTCTGTCATGACTCCTGTGGTCTGACATTCCCATGGCTGTGAGCCAGCAGTGTCCACAGGCTTGGCTCTGGGTAATGCCATGTCCTCCTTGTGCAGATGTGGAAAGCAGCCGTGGGACATGACGTGTCGGTGAAGGTTGAGGCGCAGGGAGACGACTGGGACACTGACCCTGACTTCGTGGTGAGTGTTTGGTGGGCTAATTCACAGTGCTGGTGGTGGTGTGAAGGGCCCTTGGCACATGCTGCTCAGCTGGGCCAGGGCTTGGAGCTTGGCTGTGGTGAGAGCACCACTGCCTGAGCAGATCAGCCAAGTCCCAACAGCTCCTTGCTGTTACTGTCAGGTCAGGTAATCCATTTCTGACCTATACCTATGTTTAGTCTCCAGAACTTCCTACATCAGTGTATCACAAGTATAAAATATTTAGTTTCTTTTGAACTTGCTCCCTGGTAACTTCACCAAGTTGTCCTCACAACTTATATTACAAAAATAGCAAAGACATTTTCTCTTTCCCAAGATGTTTGTAATTGTACAGGGTTTCAGCATTGCCCTCATCTGTCTTTTGTCCAAATGAAAGAATCCTACTCTATTTACGTCACCTTGGGCAGATGGAGCTCCATCCCTCCAAATAACCTTGTTTTCTTCCAGTCTAATTTTCTAGGTGAGATGGTAAACGAATAGAAAGTCTCAGCCTGTGGGAACCTCATGCATTTGGTGTCATGACTGTCTTTTTCTATTTGCTTCTCTATTTCTTTCCTATTAAGTTACTTACACTTTGGCTTTTTGGCCAAAGCACAGTTGCTACTCTTGCACATAATTGCACATAATCCCATGTTTAGTACTCCCTCCTTAATGGTAAATATTTTGGAACCATCGTTGAGCAGATATAATTAGGATTTTTTTTTTTCTATATGCTTTACTTTTGTACTTGCTACATTACCATTCATTTCCAATTTATCACCCATTGTTTTGACTTTACATGATTTTTCTGCACTGCTTTGCCTTCTGGGTTTGGGTGACCTGAACGGTCCTTTGCTGCATCAAGACACTGACATCTCATTCTTCATACCCATTTTCTAAAACTCTTAGGAGCACAGAGCACAGCAAGTCCTTCTCCTCTTGGTGCTGGGGAGCGCCAGCCATGCTTTAGAGCCACAGGTCTCTTCTGAGTGCTGCTGAGATTTTGGTTTCCTTTCCAAGACAGTTTATTGATGGAGTCTCTTCTGTTACACAAGAGCTTGATGTTTTCAACGTTCAGCTTTGCCTGGTTATTTCCAGTAAGAAATTCTAGTTTGGGACAAAAGCAACTCCCCTCCTCTAAGTTCAAAATCATTAATGATTACCTCCCCCCCCCCCCCCCCCCCCGCACTCCCAGTATTTTGAGATTTTATTTCACTTTTTCTACTTGTGGGGGCATTAAAATAAGCCTGCACAGAAAAAAAAACTTTGTCTTAATTTCAGATTTTATTTTGTATATGCATATGTTAAGCATTACCGTTACTGACGCTTCATCAAATAAACCTCCACACGTGGACAAAACAAGCGCTCTCAGAACAAAGCTGAGGCGGACCTCAAGCGGAGCTGGGTGAAACGTTCGCGTCGGTGTTTTCCCCATATTTTCCTACACAATTCATCTCCACAGCGGTTTCGTTTCCCAGCTCCAACCCGAGCAGGGGGGATGGAGCCGCTCGCAGCTCCACTGCCAGCCCTGCACGGCTCCGTGGGCCGTGCCCGGAGCCAGGCGCAGCCCTGCTGGCCGGAGCCCCGTGCTGCGGGCCCGCTGACGGCTGCGGTTCGCTCCGCAGAACGACATCTCCGAGAAGGAGCAGCGCTGGGGAGCGAAAACCATCGAGGGCTCCGGCCGCGCCGAGCACATCGAGTGAGTGCCGCCGGATGCGGAGCGCTACGCCGGGGCCGAAACCCGCCACATGAGGGCAGATGCTCGGCGGGGCGGGAGGGAGAGGGCGTCGGGGCCCCGCCTCTGGGAGCCTCGTACGGGGAACAGCGCGGCGGTGGCCTGGCCCCGGGCAGGAGGGGATCGGGGTTGCGGCCTGCGCGGGTGCTGCCGGGGGCTGAGGCTGGGGCTGGGGCTGGGGCTGGGGCTGGGGGTGCACCACGGGTAGAGCTCAGAGACCGCCCGTGTGCTGAGAGGGGAACTGTTCCGTATGTCCAGGCAGCGGCTGTCCCCACGGCAAAGGCTTCCTGCACCTTCCGTGGCCAAACCAGACCCTATCCAGCAGCTCCCTGCACATCCCCGTAGTGACCCGCACAGTGTGGCCAGTGCAGCACACAGGCACACGGAAGTGTGGTCTCCCGTTGAAGGTGGGGTGTAGCCTTGAGTGGGATCTGCAGGCTGGGGGCTGGATGCACTCACCGAGCCTGCAGCTCTGGGTCTTATCGCCAGCCCTAGGGTAGCGGCATGCCCTGCCCGTGTGCAGTGAGTGCGTATGTGTGGCTACCACACAGAGGGGCCCGGTGTGGGGGCATGTGGTGGCAGCTGGCAGCAGGTTTACATCCTGCCCTGTGCTGGGCTCTGTCTGGTACAGTGGCGCTGGGACACTCCACCTGGTTGCATGAGTCTGCGAAATCCCGCAGTGATTTACCCTCTCTTATCTCACCAGCATCCACCAGCTGAGGAACAAGGTGTCAGAGGAACATGAAGTCACCAAGAAGAAGGAGCTGGAGACTGGCCCCAAGGCCTCCTATGGTTACGGGGGCAAATTTGGAACAGAGAGGGACCGAATGGATAAGGTAACAGAGGGCTTCCTTTGTCCCCAGTGGATGTCTTCTCCTCATAAAGGAAAAAGCATCCCTGTTTTCTCAAGGGAAAGAATGGCATAGCTGAGCACATTTGCACATGTCTAGCTGGCCCATAATCTTTCTTCAGGATCTGTTTGAACCCATTTGTATAATACGTCTCTAGAACTTCCTTGCAACACTCCCTTTAGCTGTGAAAAAGGACTTTCTGTGGCTTGTTTCAAACCTGCTGCATAACAATGAAATTAGGTACTTCCCTACTTGTGCTTGGAGAACTAATGAGTAATAATTCTCTCCTCATGTTCTCCACTGCAGACCTCTGTCATATCTCCCCACGGTGAAGCTCTAGTTCATATTCTCTGTTCTCACATAACATCTGGTTTATGTTTCTGATAATCATAATCTTGGTATACCTTTCAGCATTTAATACTTACTTGTTTTCAGAAGTGAAGTGATAAGATTGCAGTAGCACTCGATATATGGGGTTGCTGTGGGTATGCATGATGCCAGGATGGCAGGGTGAGAAACAGACCTTTCCAGGAGGCAGAAATGAACCAGCCAAGCTCAGACCCTTCTGCTGGAGCAGTGAGGCTGTTTTTGTTGAGCAGTTCCTCAGCCTTCATCCACTCTCACCAGGATGTTGCAATCATTCAGCCTCTGGCCCTTCTCCCAAGGAGCGTGAGCGATTCCTGGCCACGCTGCCTCTGGCCGGTAGCAGCAGGACCCTGGCTTGCCCTGTGTTAGGCATAAAGGGTTATCCCAGCCATGTGTGCTGACCCTCATTCTCAGACAGGCAGCAGGCGCCAGCCCTGCTGCCTGTGGGTGTTCAGCTGTGTCTGCCGCAGTTTCCCCATGTGATTGTCCGTGACTCTACTCCACTGGTATTTGGGAGCAGCAGGTATTCAGAATCCCACAGTGTGCATGATGAGCTGGCAGTGGGGCCAGCTGTATGTGATGGTTGCCTTTGAAGATGCATCACAGGTCTGAGTGCACAGCTGGTACTGGCAAAGGCTGGGCAGAAGGGATTGCCACCACCAGCACCGAACCACCAGTTTGGACCTGTCACGTCGTGGCTGCAAGCACTCGGCAGTGGGGCAGAGCAATTGTGTGGTGGCTGTGTCTCTGTCTACCCTGCCAGTCTGCCCATGGGTGCTCATGTCATGCTGTCTCTCTTCTCAGTGTGCAGTTGGCCACGAGTACATTGCCAATGTTGGGAAACACTCCTCGCAGACAGATGCAGCCCAAGGCTTTGGGGGGAAGTATGGAGTCCAGCGGGACCGGGCTGACAAGGTGTGTTGGACAGGGCAGCGATCTGTGCTCAGTGCTGCCCCTAATACCCAGTCCTACCTTTAGGATTGTGGCTGCAGCTTTCAGAGGGCTGGTGGGTGCAGGTCCAGCAAGGAGCTCACCTCCTGTGTGCAGGACAGTGATTCAGGGCAAATTGCAGGGCAGCTGTGGAGATTAACTCTCCGGTGTGCATTAACATGTTTGCACTGTCCTATCCAGGCATCACTGCATTTGTCTTGGGGACTGTGGCGTTTTGCATCTCCAAAGCCCCAAGCTGTGCCATGCACTGTGATGGCAGTAGCAGGACTGGATGGGGACAGCAGGATGGTGCCCCTGCTGTGCACATCTTGGCATCAGATGCTGCCCAGGCACCTTGCCTGTGGGGTCAGGATTGTGGCCCTCTTTCCTGGAGTGCATGGGCTCTTGCAAGGGCCTGTTCCTGGGCACACTGCTAACAGGGACAGCAGGGATGGTGTGAGAGGCTGAGGAGACCTGTACCAGCCACCACAAGACAGAGAGCAGGGTCCCGAGGTCCCAGCCTGGCCCCTGGGGGAGGGTGATGGGACCCAGCTTGGTCCACAGGACCACTGTCATTCCTTCCCTTCTTGTTCCAGTCGGCACTGGGGTTTGAATACAAAGGTGAGGTGGAGAAACACTCGTCCCAGAAAGGCAAGTCCATGGGCACACGTGGCTCCTTGACACTTTTCCAAGCTTCTCTTTTGCTCCCAATATTCCCTGCTGTATGCTGTGGCACAGTCGCCTTTGTTACCCCTGTCCCGTCTCTTGTTTAAGATTCCTGTTCCCAGTCAGACACCCTTACAGCCCCATTCCCTGCTATCCTGTCACCACTCTTCTGTTGTATATTCCACTTATCTCTAGTTTTGCTTTGACAGAAACCACATGATAAGTGAGCAGGGAAGACACCCCCACATGCACTCCTGATGGAGGGATGATACTTTCTTTTGTCTAAAAGTCCTTCTGAGCAGCTGCTCCAGAAGGAACCCAAGCACTTTAGGAGAAGTGGTTTCTGAAAAAGTGGCATATAAGAAAAGGAACAACAATAAATACGTGAACAAAAGCCTCCACAGCACCCAAACTTGTGCACAATTCTGGAGATGATTCAGCGAACTTTGACATGTCCATACAAGCAGCTATATTTATGTCCTGGGTTCAGCAGTAACAGTTATTTTTCTCTTTCTTAGTAGTTGGTGCAGAGCTGTTTTTGGCTTTAGTCTGAGAACAGTGCTGATAATGCACCAGTGTTTTAGCTGTTGCTAAGTAATGTTTACTCCAATCAAGGACTTTTCCAATCTCATGCTCTGCCAGTGAAGACGGGCATGGGAAGCTGGGAGGAAGCAGAGACAGGACACCTGACCCAAACTAGCCAAAGGGGTATTCCATACCACAGCACCTCATGCCCGGTATAGAAACTGGGGGGAATCACCCGCAAGGCCCAGATCGCTGCTGGGGTTGGGCTGGGTATTGGTTGGTGGGTGCTGAGCAATTGCATTGGGATCACTTGTGGTTATTGTTTCCTTTTCCCCTTTTAGTTTTATATTCTCTGCCCTTGTTATTTCCCTTATCATTATCATTACTGGTGGTAGCAGCAGTGGTCTGTGTTATACCTTAGTTACTGGACTGCTCTTATCTCAACCCATGGGACTTACATTCTTTTGATTCTCCTCCCCATTCCTCTGGGAGCAGTGGGGGAAGAAAGGGGGGCGTGAGAGAGCAGCTGCATGGTTCTGAGTTACCGGCTGTGCTTAAGCCATTACAATTCATTAAGAATTTTCATTGCAACAACTGAAGCTAAAGATGTTTTAAACATTTTGCAACCAAGAGAAGATCAGAGGCAAGGTCCGATACACGTGAGGAATACTGCGTTACCGGGAAAAGAACTGTTCATTTCAGAGAAAATTATAAAAGAAGGAAGATATTCTGAGGCATTCTTGGTTGATCGTAAGTTAACAAATTGCATGCACTTGTGCTACGTTAATGCATTCCCATATACTAGATTGTGGACACAGAAATTCATCAGGCTGTTTAAAACCACAGAAACCACTCAGAACAAAATAAAAATGTTAGAAATAGGGGAAGGTGTAAGGATTGTTTTTCATAAAAATGTGTCCATGCTGGAAACCCTGCCGTCAAGGTAACAGTCATAAAATCTGTATTTGCTGAAAGCAGCATCCTAAAATGTCCATTTTATAGTGGCCTAATGGGTAAATAATAGTTTAATTGAGGAAAGTTTAAGAAATTTCTGGGACTTACAGACTCATCCTTAAGTGACTGAGCTGCCATGAAACAGGCATTCTTGAATACAAAATGTTTTCATGCCTATTTCTGTAGATCACAGTCTTCATGAGTTGATAAGGCTGAATTTGCTGGAGAATCCTCAACTCCTATGAAATGCACACCTGTAAGAAGAGGGTCAGGGAACAAAAAGTAACTGTGATTTACTTCTTCAGAAGGATTTGGAAACAGAGCTGGCAGACCAGTCCTCTGAGAGGAAGGTGTCTTTATGCAGCCAGAAGCTAGGATAGAGGCTGAAATTTCTTAGGACAATAACAAGTAGTCCTTGGAGAGTAAGTAAACACAGCTGAAGTAGTTAATACATTACTAGTTCAGCAGATGGGAAAGGGGATGTGTAAGGAAGATTTGCTGTGCCTCTATCACATAATGGTCGAGTGTGTCAGAGACAGCGTGGGGGAAGAGCTGGAGCATGTCTGCAGAAACGTGGGTTTCAGCCTTTGCTGCTGATTCTAGGCAGTGGTTTCCTTGTAGAAGCTGAGATTCCATTATAGCAAATGTAAGCTGTACAACAAAACTTTGCCATCTTTTGTGCTTTCAAGGGCTCAATATACTTATGCACAGACCTTTTCAGAGACTGGCAGACCACAGGCTGAAATCCTCTCTCTGGTGGTTCATTAGTGGGTGGATGCCCAGACTGTCAGTGCTGAAATCTTGTCTTGGCTTTGCGTCCTTGAGTGGCTGAGCTCCTACAGCCTCCCTCGCTGCTCTTGCCATGTTGCTTTTTTTCCTTGCCCTTTCAGCCTGCTGTATCTCCTGCTGCCCACAGCCCTCAGGCTCTCTTGCTGCCATCACCCACACTTGCCCTGGGCACCCATTCTCATGGGCCCTCATCCTTAAGGGTCCTCATGGTGCTCCCTGCCATCTACCCAGTCCCCTCCAAACTCCTTGCTTTCTCTAGCATTTTCCATCATCCCTGCTGTTCTTCCTCCTCTCTGCTGCGCCTCCCCAGTGCTGCTCCCCATCTTTACCCCCTCCCTTCATTAGCCCTGTGCTCAGGGCAGCATTTCACTCCATGCACCACCTCAGATTACTCCAAGGGTTTTGGTGGCCGTTATGGTTTGGAGAGGGATAAGGTGGACAAAGCGGCAGTGGGATTCGACTACAAGAGCGAGGCAGAGAAGCACGACTCTCAGAAAGGTGAGCTGGGGGTGCATCAGGCATGTCAGTACTTGAGCTCGGGAATGTGCTGCTGGGGCTTTCCTTGGTGTTTGCAACCTGCTGCATGGATGGGCTTGGTCAGGTGAGGAAAGCCATTACCTGGGGTGTGACTGCTGGGAAAAGTTCCAGCTAAATGAAGAGGAGCAGCAGGTTTCTATGGGCACAGGGATCTGGGCAGTATGTCACCAAAGGAGGGGTGCAGAGGAGACCCAGGGGCTAATAGCAGGTGACATGCCCCAGGGAAGTGGAAGGGCTGTTGCTGCAGACACCAGTAGGGGAGTCTGACCTTGCCCCGTGTCTTTCTCTAAATCCTAGCAAGGGAAAAGACTGTTGCCCCTGTGAGAAAAGCCTCAACTCACAGTGCTGCCACTTTTCTCTTTCCCTCCCTTGTCTGTTCTCTTCCATGCTGTGATCTGGATCCCTGTGGCTGAAGACTATTCTGTGGGCTTCGGTGGGAAATTTGGGGTCCAGAGAGATCGTCAGGACAAGAGTGCCCTTGGCTGGGACCATCAGGAGGAAGTGCAGCCTCATGCGTCCCAAACAGGTAGGACTGCTGCCAGAGGTAGCGGCACAATTGCCTTGGAGCACGCACAGACCTAGAGTTAGTGCTTCATACTTGACAGTGATTTAGCTGATGGAAACTGAATGCGTACAGTATGTTGTGAATCCTCAAAGCACAAGGGTAAACTCAGCCAGAGTAGGTGCATGACTGGGTAAGTGCAAGTCCCTGAATGAGGCTTCCCAGACTATATTGTGCTTTCTCTGGGAGCTACATGCCTGATCATAAGCTCATTGAGCAGATGAGCACATGGGAACAAGGCAAAGCAGGTTCCAGGAAAGGCTTGACTGTGTGCTTAACTTCAGTGATGAAGTCAACTTTGCAGTCAAATGGCATGACTGGCTTCTCACCCCAGTGCCTGGGAAACAGATCTGCCAGTGTACAGCACTGAACGATTGTGCCCTTTGCTGAAGGAAATGAAGAATTAGTCTTACAAGCTAGTGCCCAGAGCATTTTGCCTGTATTATATTTAGTTCCATATATGATAAGATGCAGACAAAGCTATCATGTATCATTGGTCACAGCATGCTGAAGTGAGAGGCGCACTCAAAATGTAAAATATTATACAACACCTCATTATTTTTCCATACAGACTATGCCAAGGGATTTGGAGGTCGTTACGGGGTCCAGAAGGACAGAGTTGATAAGGTAAGACTTTATACTTGCAGCCTGCAATTGCTTCCTGCTAGTCAGTGCTCATTGCACTGCTGCAAGAGCAGAGACTTCCCAGATGCAGTGAGGTCTCACTGCTCAGAGCACAGCTGCTGTAGGGGTGAGGGAGCTGGCCCAGTATGAATACCAGAGTGCAGAGGAAGATGGATACCATATGAGCCCAGGGAGACTATAATGCAAGGAAGGATTTTTTTTTTTCCACTGTCAGCCGCTCTTGAAGCATTAAACTCTCAGACTGAAGAGTCATAGACCTGCTTTGGGGCAGGATTTAATAGCAGAGCCACAAAGAGGTTTCTAAGCTGTCTCCTCTTGGATATCTAGTACTGTATGAGATACCAGGAATGTTCTCTCTGGCTGCTTTGCTGTCACTCCTGCAGGCCCTGTGAGTACCAATTCAGCCAGGATGAGCTGAGGTAGCTCCTTGGAGAAGAAATTTTGTGAGTGCAGCCTTTTGATAAGTCTGAGAGGCCACAGGCTATTGCACTGGGCAGCAACTGTCTCTTACACAGGAGAGGTGCTGGATCAGACTGAAGACCCACCTGGCGTCCCCAGCACTGACTGGCAGGTGATAATGCAGGGAGCAGTATGCATACAGAGAGGTTCTTGCCTTGGAGTACCTCCAGTGAGGTGGTACCTCTGAGGCTGCCATTCCTCTTGCTGTCTTACATAAGGTGTAAGGTTTGTTAGCAGCTGTCACACCCAGACATAAAGGAGGCTTCCCAGAAGCTGGCTTGAATCTTTGGTCCCTCAACGTGCAGACCTTCCCAGTCTCTTCTGAACCTTACAGAGATCCATGGCCTCTCCAGTGTCTGGCTCTTTATCCTCTTGTACTACTCACCAGCTAGTGCAGCTTTGTGTGTGAATGATTGGCCCCATAACACCCTCTCTTAACTACTGGTGAAATCTGGCCATTCCTCGTGGTGGTGTGTGTAACCTTCTGCAGGTGTGTTGTTACCTTGTGCAGGCTTTTCTGTCCTGTTCAGGAGTTTCTTATGGTCTGTTCAGCTGGCTAAATCTCAGTCCAGGGGGTAGTCATCTGCCTGCAAACCTTAACAAAACCAGGGATGGGGCTGGCAGGAACTTGCCAACCACCCTGTTGGTGACACCTGCAGGTAGAACCCTGAATGTGGCTGTATTAGTCTGAAAGCTGGATCGTACCCACACTTTCCTTTTTGTATTAAATAGTGTTCTCATTAAAGTAGATTAAGCCACTTTATTGCACTTTCTTTTTTGCTGCAAACACCCCATCGATGCTATTACCCGTTTAGGCATCTCTTCACACCTCATGAAGCCAGCAGTATCTCAGTTGTTCACACAGGTTTGCACTTGGATGTTTTCCAGCCCATGCCTCCGTAATGCACGTACTGAAGGCAGCAACTCGCTGAAGGGACACATTTTTTCGTGGTTAGGCAGCTGCAGCTCTGCATCCAATAGGGAAGTGCTTCCATGTCTCATACCACTGGGAGTGCAGGGAACAGGGACATCGGGGCCCTGGACCTCAGGAAGCGGTAGACTGCCAGCTGTCTGCTCAGCTCTTTGTGATGTTTCTAGCACACATTTCTGCCTTGAATGCCCAGCCCTTGGTGCTCCGAGCAGCACTTGTCTTGCCAGTGCAGCCTCCTCCATTTGGCTCCACACTCAGCCCTCCTGAGCGCCTCCCTTTGCAACAGGAGCAGCCCTTGGCTTTGGCTGGAGGGCAACAGACAGTCCCAGAGCAGGGCAGGATACAGCCAGCAGCCTCCTCAGGGCCGTGGCACTTGTACAGATGAAGACAGACACAACTGGGAACAAAGCCTGCAGACACCAGTAGCCAAATCCAGCAGGGAAACTGAGCACTAGCCCTGTCTAACCTGCTGGACACTTCCTCTCACAGAGTGCTGCTGGCTTCAGTGAGATGGCTGCTCCCACCTCCCGCTATGAGAAAACGAGACCACTGGAGGCAGGTGAGACAGTCGAGTGCCAGTCCTGGGCTTGGTGGGAAGCTGTGGATGGGCCTCACGGTACCTCTGTGGCAGCACACTGGCAGGCATGTGCTGTGGTGGGATGTGGATTTGACCTGTGTTAAAGTGCAGGAGAGGGTGGCTGAGCTGCAGGCTGCTCTGGGAGAGCAGAGGTCTGGGTTTGTCCTGGATGCTTGGGGTGTAGAAGGGAGTCACTGAGCAGACTTCATCTGCTGCCTTCTCCACAGGAGCTTCCAGTGGCACCAGCAGCCTGCGGTCACGATTTGAAAACATGGCTAAGGCAGCAGAGGAGGAGAGAAGGCAGGCAGAGGGGGACCGGGTGAGGTGGCAAGGTCACGAGTGCCTGGCAGCTCGGTGGAAGGTGAGCCATGGCCATCTTGACATATCACAGAATCACAGAATTATATAGTGGGTTGGGATGGAAAGGACCTTAAGATCATCCAGTTCCTAGCCCCCTGCCATGGACAGGGACGCCTCACCCTAGACCACGTTGCCCAGGGCTCGTCCAACCTGGCCATGAGCAGTGACAGGGATGGGGCAGCCACAGCTTCTCTGGGCACCCTGTGCCAGCACCTCAGCACCCTCACAGGGAAGAACTGCCTTAAATCTAACCTGAACTTCCCCTATTTAAGTTTGAATCCGTTACCCCTTGTCCTGTCACTACAGTCCGTGGTGAAGAGTCCCTCTCCAGCATCCTTATAGGCCCCCTTCAGATATTGGAAGGTTGCTCTGAGGCCTCCACGCAACCTCCACGCAAAGCAGACTTCTCCTCAGGGCCGGGCAGCTCCATATCCTTTTTACCTCATCTCTTTACAGTAATCTCTTGCCTAAATTGCTTCCCTGTAACTGCCAGGAACTGCTGCTGAGCTTCACAACTGTCACTGGATTTCTCCTTTCAGCACAGATCAGAATGTGTCTGCACCCAGACATAACCTCCCGTGCTTTGGCCCAGGCTCCTTCAGTCACACGTCCCCAGTATCACCATCCCAGCAGTCTGCATTCAGGGTTTTACAAACTGGAGATTGCACCCAAAACTTCACAGTTAGAAGACCTCCTTCTACACTGTGCTGTTTCTGCATTCAGTGTGCAGATAAGGTTTCACCAGTAAAGCACTCCCTGATACGTTCTCTCCTTGAACATAGTTTCTGCTGACCGCATGGTGGTTACAGGCCTGCTGGTGTCCAGTCCTAGGGCTGCTTCATGTGGGCTGGAACAGATTTCAGCTGAAGGAGAATTTTCTGAGTTGCTCTGTTGGGAATGGACATTGCTCTGGATTTCATTCAAAGGGATTGAGAGGATCTTATGACTTTTCTCCATCAGGAAGTCCCACAAAGAGAGAAGGATCACACAGAGGCAGCCTCTGCCACTGTGCCAGCAAGGGTGCCCAGGAGTGCTGACCAAGACAGACCTGTGTCACAAGAAGAGGTGCCAAGGCAGGTGAGGGAGGGCAGGAAGGGGAGCAGGCAGAGGGGATTGCACCACAGAGGGGCTGTGCTTCATGGGAACCTCTGCAGGAAGAAATGAGGTGCAGCTGTAGCATGGGAAAGGCTTTGGAAGGAGTAAGGGGGAAAATGTTGGGATGGTGATGGGACGGCTGCACAGCACCTTACACCGTGAGACAAGCTCTTGGGTCAGTGCAGTGGCAGTGCAGTGAGCTGCAGCTAAGTATGTGGGAGAGGTTCAAACACATGGGCCAAGAGGGTCTTCACAGCAATCCCAGGTGCCAGTTCAGCACAGACCTTATTGTCCAGAAGATGGTGCTCCATTTGTGTAATGGTAGCACTAAAAGCACCTGCAGTGGAGCAGGCTCCCTTGTGTTGAGTGCTGTGCAGTCATGGGAGAGATGCCTGCAGTGGGTGCTTTGTAGGTGACCTCCCTGTCACTTTCTCATTTCATGGCAGGAGACAGAAAAGGATGAGGAAACATCACCCGCTTTGCCACCAAGGCCAGCAGATCTGAGTGAAGAACTGTGCAAGAACCCCAGCCAGGATCAGCCAATCTACAGTGAAGGTTTGGGTGCTGGTGGAGACTATGAGGAGCTGCCAGACCCCTCTGACTACTGTGACAGTACCAGTGGAGGTGCTGACTATGAGGAGCTGCCAGCCCCCCTGGGAAAGGATGCCATCTATGACTGTGGAGGAGATGGAGATGAGGACTATGAGAATATGCTTCCTGAGGAGCCCAGCCAGAGCCAGCTGCTTGTTGGTGAGTACTAATGGAAGAGCCCATGTCTGGGGGAGCTTGTATCTGTCTGCTAACCACACTGGGTGTATGGGACAGACTCCAGAGGGAATTTGTATCCTGAAGTCTCCTGTGGCCAGGGGAGCAGCCCATGATGATGCTGCATGGGGTGCTGGGCCAGGCAGCCAGTATCTGCTGGAGCAGTGCTCAGGCAGGAGGACCAGAGAGCTCTAAAGAAGCTGACCTGGACTCTCTTGGTGCACTGCCTCCTGGCAGTGACTCCTGGCAAGTGACTGCTGGTGCTGCACTGAGCCCTGGGGGTGCCCTCTCAATTCTGCCTATTGCTCACATGACTAGTGCGCATTAGACCTGATCTGGTGGTGTCTCCTGCACATGAGGAGTGCAGGGTGGTCTTCCTCAAAGCATGTAAGCAAACTGCATAGGCTACTGTTGATGTTTCTGTTGCAGCTTCGCTGGTAGTGGAGATGGTAAGTGGAGAGGTTGGAGTTAACATCCAGCCTTTTCCTGGGAGAAGAACATGAAGCATCAGGACCCCACCTCTCTCCTTGCAGAAGGGAGGGAAGTCCTACCATGTTTTGAGCCATGGGAAACCTCTTCCTGTTGATAGGGGTGTGGTTGGATGTTGTTCACCCGAAGGCTGACAGCTGGATGGAGGGTGGCACTGACCAGACCTATATGGCTGCTTCCAACTTTCTCATCTGCCCATCCTGTCTTCTGCAGGGGAAATGGACAATGTTTATGATGTGGAGAACCCTGGGACCTGTGCAGTGGCTCTCTATGATTACCAAGGAGGTGGGTCTGCCATCCAGGCTGTGAGTAGAGGCACTGGAGCTGGCTGGCATGGTGAGGCAGGGAGGTGGTGGCTTACACCATCAGCAGTGGTGATTTCGATGTGGGTGGTTTAAATTTCTTCCTCTTGGAAAGCAGAATGGGACCTGACTTGGGAACAGAGAAGCTTCACCTTTCATATGTGAAGTCTTGCTCCTTCTCTGATTTATCTGTGTTGTTTGATGGGGATCGGGTGAGATGGACTCTGGGGGTTATCAGAATTCTTGTTCTATATTCTTCTCTTGGGGATGGGTGTATGTAAATCCAGCTCTTTCTGGGTTATTTTTGCATTGTGACTATCTTTTCTGAACAATTTTTGCAGATGGCGATGATGAGATTTACTTTGATGCTGATGACATAATCACACACATCGAGATGGTAGATGAAGGCTGGTGGCGGGGGCAGTGCCGGGGCAAAATAGGCCTCTTTCCAGCAAATTATGTGAGGCTTCTCCAGTGAGACCGGCATTGTCCAAGGAGCTTGTGTCCAAACTTCTGCATTTCTCTGCTTCAAGCTTTTGCATGGTATTGGCTTGATTTGGCTTGGCCTGGCGTGTCTGCATGCAAGAAATACAAAGAAACAAACTGGCAGTATCTGCGGGAATATTTCAGCCTGTGCCCAAAAGGACTTTGGTTCCCCTCCACTTCCAGATGGGAAAGGTGGGATGTTTTAAGTGCATGTGAGTGCAGTATAAGACATCTTTTCTACCTAACCTGCCCTGCAGTGTCAGCCTGCAAACAGAGCTATGTCCATTCCTGTTTCTGAAAGGGCCATTCACAGAAAAGAAACACCAACTCTAACCTAGTCAAGGCAGAGGGGACATAAGCTATGAGACCTTTTTAAGTTGCTGGAGCCCTGGATTTTATCGTACCCAGGGGTCAAGGAAAAGAGGACCATGAAGGGCAAACCCGCCTTTGGTCACAAGCAGCATGAGGCTGGTTTATCTGGGCAAATTGCAGGGCTGGGGCCTGGGAACTTTTCACCATCCCAGGAACACTGCTGCCTTTTCCTGTACATAAACACAAGCTTGGCTGTAGTGAACTGTTCCATTAAACAGCAGAAGTGTGTTCCGGCTCAATGAAAATGTGGGATGACGTTGCTAGGGTAGGAGATTATTCACTTGGTTTTCCTCTGTGTGCCAGGAATGCTGTTGGGAGTTTTGTCATTTTCTGGGATAAGCCTTGAAAAAAGAACTGTAAAAAATAGATTGTTTTATAGGAAAAAATACTCTGGAAAATCTGTCTTGGAGCAAGAGTAAAATACTAAAAGGCTTCACTTAACAAAGAGTTTGTTAATAACTACTGCCCTTGTTCTCATCCGGGCAGCCCATCAGAGGACTGTTCTGCTAGGGAAATCCTTTCAATCTAGCAAATTAATCAGAATAAGTGCTGCTTGATACAGGCAGTAGAATACTTTTAGGACAGTGCCATATCTCCTGTTACCTGCTCTGACAGTGTAACTAAGGGTAGACATGCAGATGGGGCCGGAAGAGCCATCCCACAGCTTGTTTCTAACCTAAGGGCTCCAGTGTGTTTTGCGGTCCGTGCTAAAGGTAGGTTCCCCTATCCAGTATTTGGCTCAGCCTCTTCTCCATGCTGTTGGGTGAGTCCCTGTGCTGAAGCCGGGCCTCCTCAGTGTGGCAGTAATATAGGTACACCTAAACAGGCCTTTGCGTGACTTACTAGTCAAGAAATACTGCAGTTTAATTAACAATGGAGTTAGTTACTTGGAGGGTGCTGGCTATAGCCTCCTTATCTAAAGGATGCTGCTTTTATTTACAATATCCTGCGTATCTGACACTGTTTGGAGAAGAATGAGTTGCATAACCTGAAGGTACATAAACTTCGTAACTGCCCCCTTTGGGCAGAATTCATCCAGGCAGCGTCTGTCACTCTCTCATAGCTGTAGTAATAAACTGACTAAAATTGCATCCTGGTTGTTCTGTGACAGCACATGTCCCTGTGCTTGTTGGACGCTCAGTTCCTTGCACAGTGAAAAGGGCCCCTGATTCTAGCCCTCCTTCGTCCTGGGTGTGGGGAAAGGCTGAGCAGGTGGGATACAAGACGAGGTGAATTTTTAATGTTCAAAACAGGTTTCAGTAATAATGCAACACAAACTGAAGCCCTCCCTTGAACTGGTATATTCCAGGCTAGATTCTCAACATGCCACTCTAGGAGTTGTTGTTCTTTTGTGGTATGCAAATACCATCACAATAGGAATAAATAAGGGACACACTGGGGGTGTGTGTGTGTGGGGGGGGGGGTGTGTGCAGTGTGTGAGAAACTGTAGTGTTTGATATTGAGAAAAATCACAGTCTGTGCCTTTACATCACGACACACTGTGATTTGGGTTAGAAACTTCCAATTTTAGTGTCAATTTTCTGCTACTGATTTTTTTTTTGGGGGGGGGGGGTTTATTGTTTTTTCTCTCTGAAATCACTTCCCTGATTTTTTTCCTCATGCAGTTCACCCATTATTTCCTGATGTTCCTTTCCAGGAGGCTCACCAGAATAGGTCTGGTTGTGACAGACTCTGTGTGTCCCAGTGAGACTCTGAACTAGGGGTGTTTTTAATAACTTCATACAATCAAGAAGGGTGTATAGCAAGCAGAGCCAGCTGCAAGGCTTGCAACCTGTTTGGCTGGGAGCAGCAGCCGTTCCAGCACATGGGCTGCAGAAGCATTTCTTTCCCTGAAGGATAAAATCAGTGTGTGTTGTGTACTGAGAACTGGCAAACTGTTCCCAGCAAGCTGTATGCCTCATGGGCCTGGGGTTTGACTCTCCAGCAGTTTTCTTTGGGAACAGACTGGATTTTGCTGGGTATCTCTTGTAACTGAGCTATAGGTGAGCATGTGCCCCTCTGTGGCGCAGCTGCAGACAGGGGCTCATCTGCTTGCGCAGCCTGTGCCAGCTTCCTTCCCCGCAGCCCTTTGCACTGGTGGCTGCCTGTGCGTGTCTTCTGCCATGGCGTCGGACACTGACTCATGCAGCTGCCTGCAGGTTTGGCCATCAGTGGGGTTGCCCCATCCCCCTGCAGTCATTTGAGCTTGGGTCCATTGCAGAGCCCCAGGAAGAGGTTAAAGGGAGTAAGTGTCACAACCGCCCCATGCCACCAACCAGCCCTCAGCCACTGTCATCCCCAGCCACAGCTCACAACTGCAGTTTGATTCTGCTATGGCTGTAAAGTGAAACAAGCATTTCGGGTGAGGATTTAAGCAGTTCCAGCTCATGGCTGAGTGCTGATGACTTGCTGTTTGACCAAAGCATGGAGAATAATGGGTGGCCTGTTTAAATGACTGGCTGCTGGGCTAATGTGCAAAATGCCACAGAGCTTTCATGGCAGCCTCGAGAAACCCAACAGACAGGAGACTCTGTGCCAAAGCACGCGTGGAAGGAGGATGGTGTAACAGCCCTTTTGCAGAGGCCACATTTTGCAGTCATAGACACTGCCCCTTGTCCCATGCAGCGCCTGGCTGTGCACCTTGGGCAGCCCCAAGTGAATGCTCATGGCCTTGTTCAGAGCCAGAACATGTCTGGTACCACATGAAATTAACTTTTACAGCATTCCCTGGAGGCAGTGCAGCTGCAACAGGTCCTCTGCTGAGCTCAGCACACAACACTTGCAATATATAAACATAATCCTGGAACTGTAGCCTTGCTCCCCACTTGATTTTGCCATTCTTCCATCAGTGATGTGCTGAGGGTCAGACAGGTGATGGTAGAGTGCCACAGGCAGCCATGGTCTGCGCAAGGGGCCCTGAAATCAAAGATTTCCCCTAGACGGGCACTGGTGCCACATCAGCACCCTGTGGCAGCCCTGGTACTGCTTATGCATTGCTGCCAGGGGAGCCCAGTGTGCCCCAACCCCACACAGCTTTCCGCAGGGCCCCCCACACCTCCTGGTTGTCGAAGCTGTAGATGAGAGGGCTCAGCATGGGGGTGATGATGCAGTACAGTGCAGAGACCAGTGTGTCGGCTGCCAGGGAGTAGCCGGAGCTGGGCCAGTTGTAGTTCAGGTTGGCTGTCACAAAGTACCCGGCGACCACAAACAGGTGGGCAGAGGATGTGGAGAAGACCTTGCAGCGGCTGATGGCCATGGGCATCCCAAGGATGGTGGTGAGGATGCGGAGGTAGGAGACAACGACAAACAGGAAGGGGCTGAGCCCCACAGAGACACTGGCAGCATGGACTGCCACTTTGCCGGGGCAGGTGTTGCTGCAGGCAGCCCTCAGCAGCAAGGGGACATCACAGATGTGCTGGAGCCACGCAGAAGGAGAGCCTGGAGGCCAGGAGGGTGGGCACGGCAGAGTCCAGCAGCCCCCAGAGCCAGCAGCAAGCTGCAGCGGCCATGCAGGCTCCACGGTTCATGGCCTGTGCATAGCACAAGGGCTGGCACATGGCTGCGTAGCGGTCATAGGCCATGACAGCCAGGAGTGTGCACTTGGACCCCACGCACCCCATCAGGAAGAACATCTCTGCCAGGCACCCATGGCAGGAGATGGTTGCCTGCTGATGCAGGGCATTTGCCAGAATCTTGGGCATTGTCACTGAGGAGCAGCAAATGTCCAAGCAGGACAGGTGACTGAGGAAGAAGTACCTGGGGCTGTGGAGATGGGGATCCAGGAACACGAGGGTGAGGATTGCAGAGTTTCCCAGCAGCGTGGCCAGGTAAATAGCCAGGAAAAAAGCAAAAAGGAAGGGCTGACCGTGGTGAAAGCCCAGGCACACGAACTCTGACACCTGAGTCAGCACAAACCTGCCATGGGGCCACTTGAGTTGGCCTTTGGGCAGAAATGAGCACTATGAGGAGGAGGTGGTGATTGTGAGCCAGGGGACCAAAGCACCACCAACCAGAAGGCAAAGGTTTCACTGGTAGGATGGCTTTGGTCCTATCTCCATAGCAGTTGAAAGCTTCCCATGTTGGGATTTCACATACACTAGGTTTTAGAGTCCAGCGAGCTGCCAGTCAGTGTTGGATACCTGACTGCAAGAGAATCACACAGAAGAAACCAAGAACAGTATGCATCAAGGTGAAACCACACCTCTTGGGTTCTCCTGCCAGCCCAACCCCTGGTCTTGATAAGTATACCACACACGTCTCATCCTCCTGGTGGCACTTATACAGTGACTATATACTTCCCTGCCCCTAGACATGGTCGCGTCATTTCTTAGATGCCACAGCCACTAAGTTTGCTCTTCCCAAGCCACTGGCTGGGGATGTAGCATCACCCTGCACCAGTCAGAAGAGTTTTTTTCTTTATCTTTACCATTTTGGGGGTGCTTTGCTCTGTGATAGCCAACACTTAGAAAAGCACAAGTTCTAACTGGGGGTGACTCGAGACATTGTTTGTTAAGCCACAGGCAAATTTACATTATCAGGGATCTCAACTGGCCTTTCTTCCATCATACTATTTCAAGTCTCACCATGACACAAGGGTTCTGCTTACTGCCATGTGCAGCTATGACCACCATGTCCACATGATGGTTGAAGCATGAGGAAGCAGTTATTGCTCATAAAGCTCAGATAAGGGCTGCTGAAGCTGGTGCTTACTGGGTGCTTGTGGCGAGGGCTGCTGCAGCCCCCCCATGCCAGTGCCAGGAAGCCCAGCAGATGGAGGCTGAGTGTTCTGGTGCACAAATACAGCAGATACGGTGTGAGGCTGCTGAAGAAATGGGGCTGAGAGAGAGGTAAAAATCCACCTGCAGTCGCCTTGGCTTGGGTGCAGACCTGTCCCAGACAGCACTTGGCACAGGCACAGACTGCACTCGGCCAGCCTGAAACTAGCGGCTGCTCTTGGCTGGGTGAGGGAAAGGATCCAGAGAGGCTTAAGTTCACATATATGTTGATAAGGGAGCACCAGGGCTGGAAGCACCAGCACAGACTGTGACTGCATGGCAAATCTTAATTTCTCTGTCCAATGCGTTGTATCTACATATCAGTCACGATTTTAAAAAGTTGACCAATGGAGAATTCACTGATTCTGTTGGGAGTTTTTTTCTTACAGCTACTTACTGCAATAATCTGTCCAAGCAGTTGCTCATTGTGGGCCTTTTTCCTGTTGGAATTGCTCAAATGTCATCTCTGTCTCATTCACAATTTTCAGGTCTTTCTCTTCCTAATTAAGGACCCTGCACTCTAATAGCGTTCTCTCCTTGTTTCTACTTGCACACTGTGATCAGTATCAGTGTTTGCTAAGTAGAAGAGCCAAGTTCTGATTCATTTCTCTTTTACTCTCCAGTTTTTCAACTTAAACAACAACAACAACAACAAAAAATATTGAGAGGAAAACCTTCAGTCAAAAGATGTTTTGCCTCATGCATGACGTCCAAACTTGTCTCTCCATCCTGGATGTGGGTGTTACAAGGCTGAGAAATAGTGTTGAAGTGGGTTTTTTTGTTACTTGTTTTGCATCCATTGGACAGGTACATAAGGACTGTCTCATCCAAGATTCTGGAAATCTCAGACCATCGCTGCTTCCGGCCAGCCCACAGCCAAAGCTGTGTGCATTTTGATGCAAGAACAGCCCAACTTGTTTGTCCCAGTATTGCAGCCAGGATCAGGAGCCTGAGAGGGGCCAGCGCTGGGAGGGGCAACAGCAGTATTCTCAGAAATTGTTTTGTCTCGAGCTGTCCCTGTCTGCAAAGCTGCAAAATGCACATGTTGATCTGTATCATTTCAAGATAGGTGTTTGTGAACTGTCAGAGTGCTCAGGCAGTGGATTTGTTAAGGCACAAGTGCCTCCATGGTGTCGGTGTGAGAGGGGAAGAGTCTGTCCAGAACCTTGTAGGACGCTTTTACCTGTGACCTGTAAGACAGAGGCAGGAGTCTGCTGACAAGTTACGGTGAAGCTGGCACGAGTGAAGGTGGGGACCTGCCTGCTACACGGGAGGAATGGGGCACCTCAGGAACCAGAGTGATAAAAATGAGAATAAATTTGATAGTAGGAGGTTGGGCATGTAAGGGCTGTCACCTTGTGCTCTGAACTGGGGTTCAACACTTGGAAATAGGAGCAGGTGAGCAAGAGTGTGAGACCATCACATGCTATCAACCAGCCCTTGGTCTACTGTGGGTACACAGCCATGACCTGTGGGTCATCGTGTTTGCAGCAGCAGGAGGGAATTGTGAGTTCCACTGCAGGAGGGACAGTGAGTTCTGGAGAGCTGCAGATGGCGCTTTCCCCATGCTGACAAATCCAGGCTGGATTAGGCATGGAGCTACAGGGCTACAGTACAGCCACAGGAAATCTGCAGAGGAATGACGCCAGTTTTTCACCATCATCTGGAGCAATGTGGTAGTCAGTAGACCCAGCCACATGACAAGAAATGTCAGATTTAAACCTCAGACATCCTGTACACAATGGACAAAGAGGAAGATATAATAGGAAAATCTCCCTTTTTCCCCTGGGCTGCATAGGAATGAGCCTTGAAAGAATCTCCATCTTGCTTCAGCTGCTTTCCTCTCTCTCTCACTTGCACTGATGCGGTTTCTCACGGTAACTAATGACTTACCAAGTATTTTGTAGTGCAGTGACACCTCTGCTCAGTGCTGACTAGTCCAGAAACACTGTACAGGGGGCAGAGGGGGAGTACTGATGCCACCAGTGCTGGGGATACAGCTGGTTTCTGTCATTCCTGCTGAGGGAAGGAAGGTTCCCCTGGCCGCTGTGATGGTGATGCACCAGTGTGAGACCCAGCTCAGTGCTGGTGCAGTCCCTAAAGCAGGGTGCCTTATGTCACCACGATGCACTTCTGCATAGCTCCAGCGTCTGAGGGCAGATGCCCTCACCCTTCCTTCTACAGTGGGCAGATGTGCTCCATGCCCACCCTGGGAAGCCAGCTGCTCCTGCAGGATGTGGCTTTCCTCACAGAGCCACCGCATTCCATTTGCACTTGGGTGGGCAGACCAGATAGCCAGAGCACATCACCATGGGAGGTAAGGTCCTGAACCTTGGGCATGGTCCAGCCCCAGTTCCAGGTGATAGCTGGACTGAGGGAGCCAGCAATTACACATGGTTAACCTCTGAAAAGGACTGGATTGCTTTGTTTGAGGCATCACCAACAGACACAACCCAGACCACCCAAGAGCCCTGCGTGACACTACTAGGTTTGCTCCCAAGTAATGTGCCTATAGGGAACCCTGTGAGAGTCCAACCATGACTGAGGCCCTGCCCCACCCCAGGCAGCAGTCCTGCCCTTCCAGCTCTCCCTTCCAGCTCTCCCTTACCTCCATGTCCAAGAGCAGTGGACGGCATCCAATGCTTGGAAAGAAGAAAAAACTAGCAATGATGTGCCCAGCTGCTGTCCAGCTGTCTTACCTGCATGAGGAAGAGCCTCCGTGTCCTCAAGGCTTGTGAGTGGAGGAGAGGCTTTTAACCCTGTGAGGGCACTTAGGGAGAGGCTTTCACAAGTAGCTCTTGTTCAGTGGCAGGAGCAAGCAGCAGAGGAGCATCCCTCAGTCAACCTGCACAAGTGATACTTGCACCTACAGCACAAAGCCCTCCTGGCACAGGACCCACCTTGATCTCCTGTTCTGCTCTGGGCTGTGCGAAGTGCAGACCAGCCAGGGCTCTCTAGCCTCTGCCTCCTGCTCCAGGCCTGTGGCAGCTCTTGGGGTGCCTGGGCTGCAGCTCCAAGCAGGTCCCCATGCCAGGAGCTCAGGGCTACAGGAGGGTGGCTGGCTGGGGTGGCCAGGAGCTACATTCCCTATGCCCTAAGTCCTTCCTTATGACCCAGTTTTATTTCTTGCAGGGCTATGAGGTGCATACACTGGCCGATGCCAGCAGAGAGGCAGCAATGAGGAGGGCTGGCTATTGGCAACAGAAAGCCATGCTCCCACCATCTGTGATAACTGCCTGCCCAGCCCAAGCTGGGCAGGGCTCTGGGGTGGAGTGTGGTCCAAGGGACCAGGGGAACCTGGCCACAGCGGGACTGTGATCTGACAGCAGCTCTGATTGGACTTGATTAAGGCACCAAGTAGTCCTGTGAGTTCTTGAAGAGCTGGGCAGCAGGATTACATGGATTTACACAGAGTGAATGCTTTCTGCTCTGAGCCTGGAGCCCCTCCTGATAGGAACAGCAGGTTTAGCTGGAGTTCACCACATGGTGCCATGGAAATGTAAAGTAGGAAACCCAGGAAATGTGAAGACTGCAACAGGGAGTGAATCTGGAGATCAGGACTGAGACATGATTCTGCAGTTCTGCAGCAGGAATACAGCATTGCTTTATTGCAGTCTTTTTTCATCCCTGTTTCCTGATGATCCTATAGGAGCTGATCCTGTAACAAGCTCTGTGTCTGAAGCTTTAAGAGTTGAGGAGCTGAGCAGAAATGTCATTTGAGTAGGGACTGGACAGGCACCAACACTTGAGGGGAAGGAATGCCCCATGTGGAAACCAGCATAGACAGCAGAGGAGCTACTACCTCAATGAGGGCGAAAATCTGATCCATGTCTGTTTTCTGTGGTAATGTCTTCAGGACGGCCTTTATGAGAAGAAATATCAATGTTTGTGTCCTCCTCTGGTCTATTGAGGCATACTAAATCTAGCCTTGTGGGCCTGGTGAGAAATCAAATCTCCATGAATTTGTGAAGGGTCAGGGGGGTTGTTTTAAACTGAATGCCTAAATTTGGGTGAGCATCCACAAGGATCAGGCCCAGCTCCTGCAACCACTCAGCACTTTAGGAAATCAGACTCTAACCTGGGTGCAGGGCCCTTACCTTCTCCAAGGGTAAGTGTTGCACTTTCCAAAACCCAACTGTACTGTTGCAAAACTGGGAACTTCCCCAAGTCAAGTTTCCCTACTTGTTCGGAGAGATGCGTCCTTCCAGCTCAAGAATTCCTTCTTGAGCAAAACCCACCATTGCTTGTATTGCAGATCACTACAGCAGTGCTGCTATCTCACTGGTTGTCGTTTCCACTTGTGCACAAATGCTTCCTTGGGACACAGAGACAGGAAGACCTATGCAAATCATGGCGTTCAGGCTGGCGGGAATCTGCTTGCTGCATCCAACCCCTACCCAAAGCACAGCTAGCTCCATGGTTGTCCTGGGTTCAGCAGTAGCAGTCATTTTTCTCCTTCTTGGTAGCTGGTGTAGTGCAGTGTTTTGACTTTCAGCTCGGGAACAGAGCTGATAACAAGGATGTTTTGGTTTGGCCAAGGACTTTGTGAGCCTCATGTTCTGCCAGGGAGGAGGGGAAGCCAGGAGGAAGCAGAGACAGGACACCTGACCCAAACTGACCAAAGAGGTATTCCATACCACAGCACGTCATGCCCAGGAGGTAACTGGGAGTTAGCCGGAAGGGCTGGGAGACGGCAGGGTTGGAGGAGGTATCGGTCAGAGCTTGGTCGGGCTGGGGGGGGCGAGTTATCGGTCGGCTGGTGGTGAGGTGTTGTATTCTCTTCCCTTGTTATTTCCTTTATCATTATTATCATTGGTGGTAGCAGTAGTGATTTGTGTTATACCTTAGTTACTAAACTGTTCTTATCTCAACCCGTGGGAGTTGCATTCTTTTCGATTCTCCTCTCCGTCCCTCCGGGAGCAGGGGGAGGGCAAGAAAGGGGGGGGAGTGAGTGAACGAGTTACCTGACTGGGTTTAAACCACGACAATGGTCAAAGCTGCTGTGGGCTGCATCCAGATCTCAAAGCCTTCCTGAGACCCTGCTCCACTACGTAATGATCCTCAGAGTGACTGTTGTGCCTTACCTCCAGGTGGAAGGAAACCTCTTGAACCTCCAACTCTGAAAACTCTGGGGGTTTTGTTTATGAGAAGTTCAATATGAGTCAACAATTTGTCCTGCTGGCCAAAAGGGCCAGCTGTATCCTAGAATGCATCAGGCACAGTATAGCTAACTGGTCAAAAGAAGTGACTGTCCCACTGTGCTTAACTGTACCTCAGTACTGTGTGCATCACAAAGATGGTGAAAGGACTGGAGGACATGACTTACAAGCAGCAGGTACTGAATTTGTTCAGCTTACGGGAGACTGAGGTGACTTCATTGCTGTCTACAACTTGCTCATGAGGGGAAGGAGGTGGAGCGGGTGATTCTGATTTCTCTCTGGTGTTGCAGTGATAAAGCATGAGGGAATGGCTTGAAGCTGTCAGGGGAAGTTCAGATTGGATATTAGGGAAAAGCAGTCAAGCACTTGAACAAGCTCCCCAGGGAAATGGTCATGGCTCCAAGCCTGCCATGACCATTTCCCTGAGGTCATGGGGGAAGTGTTCAGGAAGCATTTGGACAACACATACTTGGTTTAACTTTTAGGTTGCCCAATATGGAGTGTAGAGTTGGACTCAGCAATCCTCACAGGTCCCTTCCCACTGAGAATATTGCACGATTTTATGAACTTGAAACCTCCTGTCTGAATTTTGCCTGCTGCCTCTCATCCTCACTCCCTGCCCCAGTGATGAGCCTGGCATTGTTTTCTTGATAGCCTCGCCACAGGTAACAGACTGTTAGGTGGTCCTCACAAAGCCATTCCTTCTGCAGGCTGAGCAAGCCCAACTCCCTCTGCCTTTGATCACAGTGGAAATGCTCCAGCCCTGGCCATCTTGGTGGCTCTTCACTGAGCTCTTCTGAGTCTGCTGGTGTATTCCTTGTTTCAGGGCACACTCATGTCTGATTTGCAGCTCACCAAGGGCCCCTACAGCCTTTTCCACAGAGCTGCTGCTCAGCAAGGCACCCCCAGAATGTATGTTTTCAGGGCTCTTGCTTCCCAGGCACAGGACTCGCCATTTGTCCTTGCTGAACTTCATGCAGTTATTTCTGGCTTATTCCTCTGGTCTGTCCAGGTCCCTCTGGACGGCAGCCCTGCTCTTCAGCATATTCACTGGTCCCCTCAACCTGCACACTCTGTCACCTTTCATATCACTAATGAAGATGTTAAACAGGACAGGTCCCAGCTCAGATACCTGTGATGCTCCATTTGGCATCAGCCTCAGGGTCACTGTTTCTGGCCAACTTGTACTCAGAAAGCAACAAGGAAGTCACCGAGCAGCAGGTTTGCCTACTGATTGTAACCTTGTACTACCTGGTCAGCTGCGGCCCTGCACTCACAGCTCCGCTCCTCACAGTCCCTATGGCCAGCTCCGTCCTCTCACTGCACGGAGCCAGCTCTCCAAGGCTTCTCACCTAAGCCTTGCCCAGGCTTGGGCATCCAGTCTGCCCTAGAGGCCAATTAGTGCACTTTAAACAAGATGCTTTAAATAGAAGGCTGAAGTTTGAGAGAGAGATTTGTTTCCAGTTTGTCTGCTTGGTTCCCATTCCCCACAGGCTTCTCTCCACAGAGAAAATGCCATCAGAGCTTCAGTGCCCATTACTAAGAGCCCAGAGCACTTCACTTTCTCCCTTCACAGGTTTTTGTGAGACCTGTAAACAAGGCTTAGAGTGGCCTATTAAAAGTTTGAGGCAGTCACTCAAGAGTAACTTTGAAGCTGTTCACATCTGCTGTAACCAACTGCATCATCATGTCATAAGCAGCAGAGTGAGACATGTGAGAAGAATGTCTTTGTTCTGTGCAGACTCCCGATCTTTGAAATGTTCATACTCTAGGCAAAGAAACACATAAAGTTGTTGAAGTACTAAAAGGAGAAAAAGGTAAATAATTTAACCTGAATGACAGTAAACTTTATGGAAAACTTCAGCAAATACAAAGCTGAAGTTCCACAGTCATTTGTAATAATGATTGTGCCTTCTTGCCCAGATTTCCTCTCTACTCTGAGGCAGTGTAGCTACACTATAGATGTATACTACGGCCGTGTCAGGTAGGTATTGTTTCTGTGAAATACGGGGGGAGCACTTCCTTTGGAAAGCAGAAACTCTGGTTCAGCAGCCTTCAGTCTAATTCAGGTACCACGCTTCTGTGCAAACAGGCAGAAGGCATTTAAGCATTAGTAAGAAGAGGACAACAACCAAAATACAAATGTTGACTGTACATGAGATTTTTGCAGCATCAGATATTACATATTTAAGCTAAACCAGCATTTAGATAACTTGCCTTTATTATTTCACAACATAATGTTTGCAAGTCAAATAAAGAAACCAAAAATCTTTACAAAAGAGAAGAAATAGCCTGTGCTGGGCATTACCAGGATTTATTAAAAATAATCAGAGGTTTCAGCTTGTTCTGTAAAAGCAGATTAGGGACAGGGAAGGGGCAGGAAGAAAAGTGAGAAAGGGTACAAGAAATTGTTTTAAATTAAAGCCATGGGAAGTTACAAATTCAAGTGTACAGCACAGGACTGGGAGGCACAAGGAGGTACACAGAACACACATGAATTGTCATTATGAACTGGTTTCAGCTCTAACAGTTATTTTTCTTCCTAGTAGCTGGTACAGTGCTATGACACACTAAAGAAGTGAAACATATCTTCAGCACTCACAAAGAGAGGAAAAAAAAACAATAAAAGAAAGACTTTCCCAAGAGGCCTCAAATCAGAGCTTCTGCTAAAATCCAAAGGCTTCCTTTGATATTAAAAGCATTATTTTGACACTATCTCCTCCATCTAACACCAAATATTTCAGTATTATCAGAATCATGGGAGGATCTGGGTTGGAAGGGACCTTAAAGCTCATCCAGCTCCAACTCCCTGCCACAGGCAGGGACACCTTCCACTAGAGCACAGTGCTCCAAGCCCCTGTGTCCAACCTGGCCTTGAACACTGCCAGGGATGGGGCAGCCACAGCTTCTCTGGGCACCCTGTGCCAGCGCCTCAGCACCCTCACAGAGAACAACTTCTTCCTTATATTAGATCTCCTGACAGACTTCACAGAACATCTTTAGATTTACAAAACAAATGCTCTATGTAGGGCAATGGCACTGCACAGTTCCGACAACCTCTCCTCAGGTGCAGTCTTGGTGGACCAAAGAAATGTTAATATGGACATAACAACTGGCAGTAACCTAAGGAATGGTGCCGGTCACCTGATAATCACTCTGTGAAAACACTGCACCACTAAGCCAGTGCTGTTTGTACTTGAAATTTTAAAAGGATTGGTTTCTCCAAATGTAATAATGTCAAATGACTAGGAACATTAACACATTGCAAACAAGAAGTGTAAGCCAGGAATTGTCATTTAATGGCACCCCAAATGAATAGCCAAAAAAAGAAAGCACAATATAAATAAAGAAAGATGAAAATAAAATCGTAAGGGTTACTAATCACATGAAAACCCCACAAAACTGACAGACACTGAGGGAATCAATAAAATATCAATTGACAGTAGCATTATGGACAGCAAGATTCCAGAGCTGTATAAACACAAACTCAGTCATAAGCAGATCCACCTTTGGATACTGCTGGTGAAAATAAAACAGCAATGCAAAAATGCAGAAATATTCCGCAGATCCTTTTGATCTGTACCTGGAACAAAACAATGACTGCATTTAATCTCATATAATGGTAATGAAGGAACAAACGTGTTGATGCATTTGGTCAAGGAAACTCTACAGAAGCATTTCTTACAATTACACATTTTTCAATCAAATGCCCAGCATTTCACATAGTTGTCTTAAACTAGCCACAGCAACTTCCCTTTGATCTGTACTATAATGATGCACTAATGAATTTGCGACTCAGTCAACAATCTAGTCAAGAACTGTAGGGAAAGGTATCCTCAGTGCTAGTCATGCATAACTTCAGAAGAGGGAATCACTAACAAACTTCTTGTCCCAAACGCAGTACAAGTGTACCTTCACCAATACAGTGCATTTGAAATTAGCTGAAAGAAATCCACTCAGTACAACATGGCACCTTAATTAAAAATATTAGCATTGTAACTGCAATCTGGGGCAGTTTAAATGGATTAAAAACTGGTACAGGAACAGAGCTCAAAATGCATCAAACAGGGAAACATAAATAAGCATATCAGAACCTTGCTTTGTACCTCAAAACCAAGTCCTCACACACCAGGATATTATATCAATTACTGCATAACGAAATTACTTTGTCCATATAATTTACAAAGGACATGGAACTCAGTACTTCAATGCCCGGCAGAAATTCTACAGCCCCTTTGTACCAGCATTCAAATCAGCTTCTCTGGCCTTTTATTATGGATTTGAGAAATCCATAGCTCTAATGGCCACTATCAAGTCTCATCAGAACTGCAGATCTCATCCCCCAGGCAATCTAAAAAGCACAAACAGAAGATCCTTCAGAGTCACTGGAGTATTCCACACCTTTCTGCATTTTCCCCTAGAACTCGTGCTGCAGACTTGTCAGCCCAGCCCAAATCAACCCAATGGGATACGCTGCTTTCCTCTTGGGAACGGCTTCTAACTGTGCCCTCCACCAGAAGCTCAAGATCAGAATTATGATACAAAACTGAAGAGAACCTTGTTTTCAGCTTGGATCCAGGAAAGCAAGGACAGGAGAGTTAATATTACCCTGCTTATTGAGGCCTTTTTTCATAATTTTTTCCCTCTCTTTTCTCCTTATGGGACTCTGGGAACAGAGCAAATATTAAGACTCTCAGGACTACCATCAGCAAAACAAACCATATCCTAACTGGAACTAGCAACCCCCTTTCACCTACCCTGTTGCTGGACTCACCTGTACCGCTTATGTCTAAATAAAACACCAGGGACCAGTAAACTCCATGGCTAGATCTCTACATCCAGATGGAGTACTGCTACTTGAGAAGTTTTTTCCTAAACTGCCCCAGTGCCTGGACGCTGCATGAACAACGTTAACTCCAGGTCACACAACATGATGTGCATTAGGTCTTTCTCTCCCCCACGCTCCTTAAAACATGCCATGGCTCTATGTCTTGTTACGAGGCTGACACAGTGTGTCTAGCAGCTACTCCCAGCTCAGCAAAGCATACCCCCGGGTAACTCATGTCAACTCTTGTCTCTTCATCCCTGAACACAGTGGACACGCTCCTCTGCATTGTAATACACCTGCCCTTGGCGCAGACGTGGCTCTTCCTGCTGGTACCAGAGCTGCTCATCGAACTCTGGGAAGAAAAAGGCAATTTCTCTGCTGGCTGATGCTGGTGAATCTGTTGGAAAACAGAGGAGAAGGTGAGTGATGGCAGTGTGACACTACAAACGTGCTACATTCCAAAGGGAAGGGCAAAAGCCACAAGAAAAGCACCAGGCTCAAGTCACACCAGGACAGGGGTGAGCAGAGTCTGCAGAAGTGAGTAAATCACTAACTGTGACTTCTAGACTGGAAAGCAAGCAAAACACCAGTGCTCACACCTTCCCGAGCTCCAGCCTTTGCCCAGTACTCAACAAAGAAGGATGGGTCTACCTGAGCCATGAGTGGTATTCCTGGTGTCAGTGAGGCCATAAGCTCCTCGAATGGAGTCTGGGACGCTGTTTCGGGCTCGGAATACTTTGGTGGGTCCCATCAGGGATCTCCAGAGCGGGACAGCGTTCTCATGGGCCAAGATGTAAGCCCACATGGGGCCACTGAGAAAAAGACCAAGGAAGAGGAGAAGCAGATAAGGCTGCAAAAGGGCACAGCTTCATTCTTATAGATACAGCAAGTGCAAACAAGGAAGTGCAACTGTCTTCCAGTGCTTTTGGGAGGCCACACAGCCCTACCATGGCATAGACCCTGAGTCTGTGGCTCAGAGCAAAGCATTTGTGTGAATGCCCTCCTCCTAGGTGATGGCACCCACCACCCTTGGGGCTGCCACCCCACTAAGTCCTACTATAGTCACAGCAGGGTTATCTCCTGGCACTTCTCCACCCCTGAGCCCAGGGCCTTCCACCTTGGGTGAGACACGTCCCACACCAAAGTGGCCCCTCCACCACCCCCAAAGGCGGGACAAGGGTCCTCTGTGAAGTGAAGGGAGCGCCCTCCTGGCGCCCCGCAGGGACCGGCTGCGGGCACGGCAGGTACCTGGCCATGAACTCCACCAGCCGCTGGTAGAAGAACCGCCCTGCGGGAGAAAGACGGGCGGGTCAAACCGCGCAGCGCCGCCGGCCCCGGAGACGCTCGTCCCCCCCCCGCCCCGTGCCGCCTACCCGCGTGCTCCCGGTAGAACCGGCGGCTCTCCTCCCGCCCGCACCGCAGCTTCTTGGCGCGCACTATGAGGAACCGATTGCTGAGGATGGTTTCGTGCACGGCCTGCGGGCAGAGGCGCAGCGGCTGGGCGGGCGGCGGCCACCGCCGGGACGCTCCGCACCGCACGGCCTGGCCCGGTGTCTCGGGGCGGAGCGGGAGGAAGCGGGGCTGTGCGGGACCATGCGGGGCGGGACGAAGAGGACTGGTGCGGGACGATGAGGGGAGGGACGAAGCGGGGTGGTGCGGGATGATGCGGGGAGGGACGAAGCGGGGCGAGAGCAGGACGAAGAGGACTGGTCCGGGACAGTGAGGGGAAAGACGAGGCTGTGCGGGACGATGCGGGGCGCCCAGCGCTCACCTCCAGCACCAGCGGGTGGGCCACGGCGTCCGGCTTCAGCAGAGCCAGCGTGAGCTGCAGCGGCCGCCCACACGGCCTCGCCGCCGCCATGGCCCCCGGCGCGCCTGTGACATCAGCGGAACGTCGCGCTCCGTGATGCGGGGCCTGAGGCTGGTCCCGGTCCCACACATCGCGTAGCAGCGGGGACGCGGAGGCGGGGCCATGGCGGAGGTGCCGGAGCAGGCCCGGGCCGAGGCGGCGGCCGGCGCGGAGGAGACCGTGAAGATCATCTGCCTGGGCGACAGCGCCGTGGGCAAGTCCAAGTGCGTGCGTTCCCCGCGGGTAGGGCAGGGGCGGCTCGGGGCGGTCCCCCGGCCTAACGGCAGCGCCCTACTCTTTCCGCAGGCTGCTGGAGAGGTTCCTGCTCCACAGCTTGTATCCTTGTGCTGCCCCTTGCTGCCCGCCCTGCGCGGCGGGGGCCTAGGGAAGAGCGGCGGGCCCGGCCGGGGGAGCGGTCGCTGCGGCGCGGGGGTCCGCCCTCCTCCGTCGGTTCCTTAACGCGGACGCAGCTGCTCCCAGCAGCTCTCCACCTTCGCCCTGACGCTCTACAAGCACCGCGCCCGGGTGGACGGGCGGGCGGTCCTCGTGGGTAAGTGGAGAGCGCGCCGCTGGGTGTTGCGCGGGGCACGGGCACGGGGACGGGGACGGGGACGGGATGTGCCGGCTGCGTGCAGAGCGGGCACGGCGGCGGTGCTGTGGGCAGAGGCAGCAGCGCACGGACCCCAGACCGCGGCAGTTTCCTGCACTGGGCAGTGGGGTGCCAAAGAGGTGTTTGTAGGCAGGGAAATGGGGGAATGGAGGGATCAGAGGATCACAGAATGGGGGTGATCAGAAGGGGGCTCTGAAGCTCCTGTCCAACCCCTGCTGAAGCAGGGCCACCTGCAGCCAGTTGCCCAAGACCATGTCTGGGTGGCTTCTGAATGTCTCCAAGGATGGAGATTCTGCAACCTTCCTGGGCCTGTGTCCAGCCACCTTCACAATGGAAAGTGTTTCCTGATGCTCAGAGGAAAACTCCTGTGTTTCAGTTTGCCCCCTCTGCGCATGTCATTGCACACCACTGAAAAAGCCTAACTCCATCTTCTTTACTCTCTTCCTTCAGGTATTTATACTCATTGATGAGATCCCCCTGAGCCTTCTCTTCACCAGGGTAAAGAATTCCGACCCTCTCAGCCTTTTCTCATAAGAGGTGCTCCAGTCCCTTCATCATCTTCATGTCCATGTCTCTCCTGTACTCAGGAGCTCAGAACTGGACACAGTCCTGCAGGTGTGGCCTCTCCAGTGCAGAGTAGAGGCGAAGGAATATTTTGCCTAATGCAGTTAAGGATGCCAATAGCTTGCTTTGCGGCAAGGGCACAGCTTGGTGTCAGCCAGGACCCCCAGGGCCCTTTCTTTGCAAAGCTGCTTCCCAGCTGGATGGTGCCCAGCTGAAACTGGTGCTATGGGTTTGTTTCTATGTACTTCTACTTGTTAAACTTCATAAGGTTCCTATCAGCCTGTTTCTCCAGCCTATCCAGGTCCCTCTGGATGGCAGCAGAACCTTCTTGTGTACCAGCAACTTCTCCCAGTTTTGTGCCATCTCCAAGCTTGCTGAGGGTGCAGTCTTGCCCTATCATCCAGATCATTAATGAAGATGTTGAACAGGATCAGATCCAGTATTGACCCCTGGGGTACACTGCTAAGTTACTGGCTTCCAGGCAGACTCAGCTGCTGATCACCAGCCTCTTGCTGGACATTCAGCCAGTTTTCAGGCCACCTCACTATCTGCTCATCCAGCCCCTGCATCAACATTTTCTCTATGAGTCTCTTATGGGAGACGGTGCCAAAAGCCTCACTGAAGTCTAAGAACAGCCACTACTCTTCGCTCATCTACCATGCCAGATCACTGTTCAGTTAATAGGTTCTTCAGCTATGCCACTAATCCCCATGCAAGGGGATCTCTGAGTGAAGGATCAGCTCTGTTTTTTTCAAGGAGTTGAATACCTGTCAAAGCAATTGCTGCAAGAATCCTGATTTAACTGTGTTAGTCACTGTTCAGTGAGTGCCTGCTGCTCAGGATGCAGTGTTATGATGAAACTGAGCTAAGTGACATTTCAGATTTACCACGAAGCTAAGCTAGCTGCCCAGGAATGTTGTAGTCCTGTTCCCTTATGTACCACCAGTGTTCACTTATAGCCTAGTCCTGTCCACTGTCAGGCCAGTCCAGAAAGTATACCGTGCGTATTAACCACTCACAAAAGAAGGGAATGGATTTCTTCTCATTTGGCTTCCTAAAACATCTCTGTATGGGGGCTTATACACACCTGTGCTAGTGGAAGGGGCAGGTGGGGAAGCACTGGCAAAGTAAGGAAGAGCACAGAGGGGGCTTGCTCTGGCTTGCAAGCTGGATATTAATCACTTTAGCTGCAGTACGAAGCTGTCTTCAGACTCATCTACTCTGTCAATATAGTAAATAAATGAGAAGAAATATTCCACATGCTTATAACAACAGTCTGCAGTGGGATTTAGCTGCCTGTCGACATCAATTCTAAAACCCATGCCATGCATTATTCCAGTAGATCTGCTATTTTAGTTGCTGAGGTTTTAATATATTTTAACACAATCTTCCTATCACTGGTTATCCTTTTCTTGGGTATTCTCACTTGGTTCATTACTTCTGGTGTATGTACCAATTGCTGTACTTCAAGTTTATAGAATTTAAATTTTTTTGCTGGATGTGTCCAGCCTGTCAGATCTTATCATAAAATCCCACCTGTTTTATCTCTAGCTTTGTTAGGTTTTTTTTTGGTAGAATACAAGCAGTGTGGCTTTATCAGGCATCTCTTTATCAGCCACACTCTCAACTGTCCCATAACGTCAGGTTTATCACAAGTGTGAACTTTCTATTTTTTATGCCAAAGAAGCATTGTTTTAACCTGTGAGATGTAGCCTCATAGCACAGTGCTGTTCACTGTGTGTTACAGATGGAAGCTCAAGAAAAGCATGATCTTATTCCGTGGTTTGAGCGGATATTCTGTAGTGCTGCGTCTGTCACTGCAATCATTGTGTTTCCAGAGTATTACAGCTTTTGGAAGGGACTGTGAGAGAACATCTTGCACATCTCCACACAGGAGAAACTCTTTACTTAATGATGCTTTTCACTGATACGTATCTATCATAGGGTCACCCCATAAGGTCATATATATATATATATGTATCAGGTCATATCTGTATATTTATATGTATAGATATAAATAGATATATATTTATAAAACACATATTCAAAGACTTCCAGTGACAAAGCCTGCTTAGGCCATCTACTCCAGCCTATTAGGGTTCTTACAGCTGGAAATTCTTTCTTGATACTTAATGCAAATCTTCCTTGTTCAAGGTGAACCGTTTGTTTCCTGTGTTTCCTGGATACTGAACAATTTTTTTCCCCCTTCCTGTTTGTGCCAGCTTTCTACATGTTTGAGCACTGCACCTTTCCCCTTTGCTGGTGAATGAAAAACTGGACACAGGCCAGCAATGTGCAACTGCAGCCCGGAAAGCAAATTGACTTGGGCTGCATGAGAATAGTATGACCAGCAGGTTGAAGGAGGCAATTCTGCTCTGCTCTGCTAGAGCCCCCACCAGGAGTCCTGCATCCACCTGTGGGATCCCCAGTACAAGATAAACATGGATCTATTAGAACAGGTTCACAAAAACTATCGCAGGGACGGAGCACCACTACTATGCCGAGAGGCTGAGAGATTGGGGTTGTTCAGCCTGGAGAAGAGAAGGCTCCAGGAAGGCCTTATTGTGGCCTTTCAGTATATAAAGGGGGTTTATAAGAAAGATGAAGAAAACCTTTTTATCAGGGCCTGTAGTGGCAGAGCAAGGCACAACAGTTTTAAACTGAAAGTGGGTAGGTGTAAATTGGACATGAGGAAGAAATGTTTCATGCTGAGGGTGGTTACACTGGGGAACCACTGGCACAGGGTGCCCAGAGAAGCTGTGGCTTCCCCATCCCTGGCAGCGTTCAAGACCAGGTTGGACAGGGCTTGGAGCAAGCTGCTCTAGTGGAAGGTGTCCCTGCCTGTGACAGGGGGTTGGAACTGCAGGAGCTTTAAGGTCCCTTCCAACCCAAACCAGTCTGTGATTCTGTGATTCTATGATCTTGTCTCCCTCCTTCTTCTGAGCTTGGTGCCTGCAGAGCTGGTTCTCTTTCATTCCCTCACTCTCCTCTGCAGCATTTTTGACTCCTTAAATATGTTATCACCAGCATTGCTGACTGGGAGTGATTTGGCCAGAGGGGGTCTGTCTGTCTTGGAGGTGACTGAAACTGGCTCAGCCTGGCATGGGGTGAGCTTCAGTGTCTTCTCACAGAAGCCATCCCAGCATCCCCTGCCCCTTACACAAACCTTGCCATTTACACCTAATAAAAGGTTTCAGAGAAAAGCCATGAGAACACTTGAAAGATGGTAAAAAGGGGCCTAATGATGAGGAACTCTGGCTTCTGAGGGGGAAGGTAAAATATTAGAGAACAGGAACTTTGTACAAAAGGAGGTTTCAGCGTAACAAGAAATATTTAACAGACTCTGATGTTAGGTACACTCATATAAAAGACGAGGTGGGGAGCTTTTTTAACCGTTAAGTGAAATACAGTTAGGACAACTTGCAAAAGTCAGGGACTTATTTTTAACATGGATTTAGTACTTTATGAAGTAACTTGGTCTAGTTTAAGTAATTCGTGTGGCTAATGTTTTGCAAGTGTTCACAGTGTCTTCTGAACCATTTATGAACATAAGGCTGATCATCCAAGCTACTTTGCAGAGAAGACCTCTCATGAAGTGTGATTTGTAAAGGCAGATAATGTGATCTGAAGACTCAGACTGTACAGAATTACCACTTCCCTTGCTGGTTTAATTTTTACTCTGCTGAGCTGTTCTTAGAGGCCATCGCCAAATTCCGCATGGTAGAGTTAGGATTGCATTAAAATGTGCTGTATTCATATTTATGAATCTTACTTTTCCCAAGGATTTTAAGGTTCTGGAGTGACATGGGGTATGACAGACAAATCTGGAGGATTTGGTAATAAAAGCAGCAGTGTTTTTCAGTAAGGCATGGCAAGTTCTCTTGGGACAGCTGCTGCATTGCCTGGGAACTTAATTTAGGGGCATTCAGTAGGTCATGATCACTGGCACCTCTTTTGTCCTTCTAAGTGAGGATTCTGAAATGGGACATTAAAAGGATTGGGGTGGGGAGGAGCCCTACCTAGACACACAGACAGAAAAGGGCATTAGAATGTTGCTGACTGTTCAGGTATGCGTTATGATACCCAGTCTATGAGGTACTTAATGAATTGGGACCTGCCTGTCTCCTCCCTTGGGACCCTGAACTGGGCCCTGGGCCCTTAGTAATTTTAGAATGAGTTTTGCCCCTGGGAAAAGTAGAGTTGGACTGTCTGTGAAAGCAGGGAGAATATTACCTAGGGCAGGCACCTGGCTGTATACCAAGGTGTCAGAAATCAAGCCAGTTACAAGAGGTTCAGGTTTTGTTTCCTGTTGTCATCTCTAGTGACAAAGCACTATGCATTGTTACCACTCTGCACTTTTGACTAGCTTTGTCTTTCTGTTCTTTACAAGTCATATCTACTGATGACTTCTCTTTTGCTGATATGTTTATAGCCGTGTTCAGTGTCAGCACAACTCATAGTTAAGCGTAGCTAAGAAAAGGTTGTAGTTCTGAATAATCTCTTAGCCCTGGAATGTTTCAGATTAGTGAGGTGAAACCACCATCTGTGACCCCGAGTAGATGGACTGGCCTTTGTCTCCTGGGTTTAAGTTCTAAGGAAAACAGAACTTGAAAAGATGTGTCATTCTAAGTTTGTTTTTTGTGTCTTACAGACTTCTGGGACACAGCTGGACAGGAGAGGTTCCAGAGCATGCATGCATCTTATTACCATAATGCTCATGCTTGTATCCTGGTAAGGGCAGTGTCTCAGCTGTGATTTGGTGGAGTTTTGACTAATGCAGTACCAGCTGACACGTGGCCTGTGTGTTACTTGTGACAATGCTGCTTTAGATTTATCTCTTCCAGTGGTTTAAAAAACTTTCCTATATTGTTCTTTCTTCTCTCACCAGATAAAAGCAGTGTACTTGGGTATGTTTAGCTCTATTCTGTCTTTCCTCATAGCACTCTTACTATATTCCCTGGCTTTGCTGTCTTCTAAATTTCCTTACTTTTGTAAGCATTCCTTTCTTGTTCTGTTATTTGACTATTGGATTATGTAGTACAAAACTGTTCTGACATGTTCCACAGGGGTGCTACATAAGACATTCTTCTCTGGTCTTCTGCCCTTTCTGTTTTCCTGTAATTTGCTCTTCCCGTTTATTAGCTCAAATAAGTCTTTTTTCCTGACTTCTAACCCCCTGAGGTCTCTTGCTTTGTACTGTTGCTCAACCTTTCCATTCTTTCTTATCACTTGTGAGCATTAGTCAACTTCATTGGTATTTTAATTGTTAAACTGGAGAGGTCTTACTTCTGACCCTAGTTAGAGCAGATCTTTCCTACGCTTGTTGACTTGTCATGAGTGATGCAGTATTTGTCATAGTACAAAATAAGATTGTAAAGGAAAATGAGGGACTGTTCCCTGCCTCATGCAAAGAAGTGGGCTGGCTGCATGTTTCAAGGCTTTCTGGATACTCTCCCTTGTCTTTCACACTTTCTAACAAACACCAGTTTCCTTTATTGATGTCCTCCTCGGAGAATTTTGGATTCTCTATTTGGTGGTCGATCAGGAGCTCTCCTGCTATGGCACATCATAGCTGGTTCTTTCTTGGAAGGTGTTTGATGTGCAGCGGAAAGTCACTTACAAGAACTTGAACAGCTGGTACAAGGAGCTGAGGGAATTCCGTTCAGAGATTCCGTGCATTGTGGTGGCCAACAAAATTGATGGTGAGTAGATCTTTCAGCCTCTCAGGACTGTGATGTGATTCTCTTCAGAGAATCAGGCTGAGAATGTCGTTCATCTGTTAGGTCCAGATGAGTTCTTGAGTATTAGTCCCTCAGGGCTGTATTTTACCAGTGAATAGCTGGGCCCTCTGCTGACCTTGATGCTGTCTTACAGGCACTTGAAAATACAATTTGATCCATTTAAAGTTTATTCAAGTGTTGTCCTTCCAATTCTGTCCTTACCACACTGCCCTTTGCATCCAGCAAGAAACCAAAAGCTGGTTGGAGCAGTACCTAATCAAAAATTGCAGGATGTCTTGCTGGAAGAGGAGCATAACCTATTACGTGGCATCCCCTGGAACAGTCAGTAACTGCCCTTATATTGCTAATTCAGGCTGCAGGTTTCTGTGGAACTCTGTGCTGAAGTGTCTATAATATACCTGATGGCAAAATTGTTTACCTTCCTCTGCCATTGACTAGATGCCTCCCTCTTCTTAGGAATGCTGGCTAGGCATTCCACACATTAGTGCTGTCACTTGGGTTGTGACTTGTCTCCTCCATCCTGTGAGAGTGCATAACGCCATCAGCTTTCTCCTCAGCATCAACAAGAGAACACATACCCTTAGGACCACAGTCTCCTGCTGTTCTCTGTCAAATACAGTGTCAGACGTGGGCTTCCTTGCTGACATTCGTGGTAGAAATCATCACAGCTATGAATAGTTGTGTCCACCTCAATAAGGTGTCCGGGCTTCCACTGCAGTCTACAGCAGTTCATTTGGTTCAGTGGTGTGGCTTAGGGCATGATTGAGCTTACCTAATGAAAGCCTTTCCTATAGGATGTGTCAAGCCAGCCTTGAATCCACTGGTTGCATGGACTGTAGAGGAAGTCCAAGGCAAATGGACTTGGTGTTGACAGGCATATTGTAGGCAGAACCTCTGTGTAGATGAATCCTGATCATGGTGTTCTATGTGTGAGCGCACACTATTCCAGAGGAGTCCTTTGCCGTGCCTTCCTTTGCTGTATTCCACCTGGACTAGGAAATGATCAGCTCACAGCTCTTAACACAGGCCCAGTATGCAGAACAGTTGATCCAGCTTCCTGCAGAGAGGCCGGGAGCGGCTGCCGAGGCACTGCTCACGGGCAGCACTTAGAGTCTGAACTAGTTCAGCTGCTGCTGTGTGAGACAAGGCAGATCGTTCCCCTGTGCAGCATACAGGCTGCCTATCAATCACAACTGAGCTGCTCCTGCTCTGCCAGCACGGCATCTAATTATGCAGTAGAGTTGTTCCAAACCTGAAATAAAGCCTCTGGCCTACTGAGGTTGGGACAGCTGGACCTAACTGCATGTTAAGTAAAAATATGTAACAGTAGAGTCATTTATATACTGTGAGCATGCCCTGGACACACAGGAGTATAGGTACATGCCATAAAGGCAGGGAGGAGTTCTGGCTAATAGGCCAGACTGAAGGGAGAGGCATTACTTGTAATGGTGATGGTGTCCAGGTCATATGGACACAGCTAAAATCACAGGGATGTGCATGAGAAACATTCATAGTTGCTGCAGGAGAAGGGAGTGGGTATTTTCTAAGCCCTTGTTCATTTATAGCACATCAGAATCCATCTATAATTTAGTGAAACACCATGGATAATCAACAAGAACTCTTAGTGTCTCTCATCAATGGTTTGCTGATGCTGTTGCTTTTAAAGCCCTGCAGCTGTTGGGGAGGACTCTCCTAGCCTTGTACTACAGTGAGGGGGCCTTGACTGCTCAGCTGGGCTGTGATCTCATCTGTTCCACCATTCCTGCACATGTTGACATTCTGCCTGCAGTGATATCTTGCTGACCATTTCTCCTTCTCTTGTCCCCAGCGGATATGAAGGTGACCCAGAAAAGCTTCAATTTTCCCCGGAAGTTCAGTTTGCCCTTTTATTTTGTGTCTGCTGCAGATGGCACCAATGTAGTGAAGGTAGGACACAGATATTTGACTCAGCATACATGAGACCTCTGTGTGGTCCAAGAACATGGAGACTGCTGTAGGCACAGAGAGCAGGAAATGGGCTGGTACATGTTTGCCTATTTATGAGGTCTGGTAGCTATATGTACTTGCAGAGTTTTGGTTTTGTTTTTCTTGAGATGTGGGAACAGTTTCTGTATGTTACAGAAACCCAGTGCCCCTTCACTTTGAGTGACAAGTATTCTCCTCCTCGTCAGCTCTTCAATGATGCCATCAAACTGGCAGTTGCTTACAAACAGAATTCAGGAGATTTCATGGACGAGGTCATGAGAGAACTGGAGGTAAGAAAGGCTCTACTTACTGCCCTCCTCCTAAGCGCAGCTGTAGGCCAAAACCTTGTAGGCATGGGAAGATTTGCCTTATAGTAGTGACACTATGGGGTTTGTGTGCTGCTCATGTCTAGGTTGGAAGGGGTGAGGTGATGATCCTCTGAAGAGCCTGCACTACCCTAGACCAAATTTGAAAGAATCACAGCACAGTATAGCTGTGGCTGTCATGCTTCTCAGCAGTTCCTTGTCCTGCTCCTTTCCAGAGCTTTGACCTGCAGAAAAGTGAGAATTTGTTGGATCAAGAGGAGAGCTGCCCTGAAGAGAATCCCCCATCTGCCTAAGCCCTGGACTCTGAGTCTGAGTTTCCCTTTGTTCCAGATTTCTGGGGCTAATTAAAGCTGGCCTTCATAAAGGAAAGTGATTTTTCTCTTGCCCTGAGAGCTCAGCTGGGTTCTCCCACTCTTGTGGGAGATTCTCTAGCCATGACTTTTCTTGATGTGGCCTGAGCTGCTGCGTATCATCGTCAAGGAGAGGGTGAGAATATCCACAAGGCTGCTGGTTACTGCTTGCTTCTTCAAGGCAAAGCTTGCCTGGAGAGTTCAGCCACTCTGGGACCTACAGGGAAGGGACCTGTCTGGAAGCTTTAATGGTACCTATTGGAGAAAACAAACACTAAAAACTATTTGTATTTTATATATATATATATATATATAAAACTTTGAGCCTACATCCTTCCTGCACTTCTGTTCTAAAGCAGTAGTCCAGTTACTGTACAGTATTAAATCCCAACTGCCAGCCCTCCCCATTGCTTTTCCCAACCAGCACTGCCTCTGTCCATGTGTGTGAGCTCTGGTATAATTTCTTTGGGTTTTCTTTCCCATTCTGTTACGGAGCAGCCAGATCCAGTAGACTTCCAGCACACCTTCTCCTTTCAGGTCTGCTAGAGCTGAATCAGGTGGAATCACACCCAGGAGGCTTGTCCTATCCCAGCCTGATGGATGTGGCTGCTGCTGCTCCCATGTGTGTGTTCAGGATACTTGTGCTGCACAAGTCTAGTTTCAAGTTCACCAGTGCATTGTACACACCTACAGGGATCCCACCAGTAGCTGGCCTAAGACATGTTGTGTTTCCAACTGCTGTCCCTGTAACCTCTGTGCCCTTCTTCCACTGTACCCTCACCCTCCTCTGAGCAGGCCCATTTGAGTGACACCTCACAGATAACTGAAGGGAGAGGTGAGAGCATTTTAGGGAGAGGCATCTGACAGGGACAGCAGCACCCAGGCAGTGTGATGGAAGTCCAACGTGACCTTGCTATCAGCACCTCAAACGTCAAATCTGTTCACAAATGCAGCAAATCTCAGAGGAAGGTGGGGAAAATAACCAGGGGTAGATCACTTGTTTGGGACAAGTAAAGGGTGGAGAAAGAGGAGTCAAGGAGGATGGGGGGATGTATAAGCATGGAAAATGGACAGAAACAGGGATAAAGGAGCCAGTTACAGATAAGCAACTGCTGATTGTTTTGCTTGTTTGACTGAGCCTTGCACCTAATCATGGTCTGTCCAACCTTTTTGAGAGTGACTCCAGATGCTGTTCTGAGTAGCCCCAGCCTGTACCTGGCTGCAGCAACGGCAGAAGGAACATAGGCCATAGGGACCCAGCAGCTGGAATCGCCAGCCAGCTGCTGGTGGGAGTGCCCTGGGGGTGTGTGCAGTTCACTAGCGAACTTGAAGCTGGACCAGGTCACAAGCAAGAGGAGACAGATCTGGAAAGACCCAAGGTCTGTGCCAGCTGCTGGGTAAGTAGCTTGACATCCAGCCACAGACATTAACTGAATTCCCATGCTCATATTTAAGGAACCTATGAACATGCTGTGCTTGTGAATCTAGGGAGTGATTTGTGTGTATGTTCCAGTCCTGATCAGCTGGAGAGGAAGATGAGTACTGGGTTCTGCTTTTTGTGTTAAGTGGGTTCTGGGAAAGGTCCTGCTCTATGCTATTTTGGTTTGCCATTCATGCCTTTGAAGTATGTGTGCATGTTCTTGAATGTGATCTAGCTCTTTAGAAGCCCAACTAAGCAACTCACATCATTGGGTTGAGACAGGAGAAACCTCCTGAGAATGGGAGTGCTCCCAATTCAGCTCCAGCTCTTCTGCAAGGAGGAATTCCCTGTGAGCACAAACACAGCATGCACAAAAACCGTGTGCACACCCTGTATTCACACACAGGGTGCATAGAGACACACATGGGGTACAAAGAGAAGGTGCAGTGCACAACCAGAGTGTGCACACCCAGACTCTGAAACACCTGTTTTGAGCACAAGGGCAATGCAGAATGTTCACATACACAAAGAATGCCTGTGTGCGCAAAACTGGCTCACACACACCCCCCCCCCCCCCCACATACGCAGGCAGTGCATGCACACCCTACAGGACACATACTATGCAGAATGCACCCACCCCTACACCCTGCGCACAGTATGCACCCATCCGTCTGCCCACATGCATGCTCACAGCATACCAAGTGCTGTATGCCACGTAGAATGCACCTTCTATAGATGCACATGCAAACTCACATGTGCATGCATGCATACATACATGTCCACGCACACATACAGGCATAAGCACATGCCCACACTTCATACATGCAGAGATACAGAGCAAAGTGCCTGTGCTTTGTGCAGCATCTCGGGTCCTGCTGTACTCTTCTTCCGGATAAACTGTGCAGACAGAGGCCTTCAGGACATTCTGCCTCAGTTCCCTTCTCTGCCTGTTCTTGAGCTTTTTCTGGTTTTCAAAAGCAGACACTGCAGTCGGGTGCAGCCTTCCCGGGTGCTGAACCTACCCCTTTTTCCCTTGTTCTCCTTATCACTCCCTTCCCTCAGAGAGCTGCTGCTGCTCTTTGCACTGTCCCTGCTCTGTTTACACGTCACAGATCTGCCCGATATGGGCTCCTGTATTCAGGCACAAGCAGCAGTCTTTGAGGCTGAAGGCGGAACTGCCGTTGCTGTACGCAAACACACTTGCTTGAAGAGTGCCCAGGCTCCCACAGAGCGCAGCCTGCTCCCGGCAGCGCCGCACCCTCTGCGTGTCCCGTGGGTCCTGCACCCTGCGCGCACCAGAACAGCGGCTTCCTCGGCTCTTCCCGAAGGCAGGAAGCCCGGAGCAACGGCCTGGGCCGGCACCTGCTGCCAGCCACGGAAGGGGGACAGCGGCCTTTCCCCCGGGCCACCCAGCCCCAGCGCAGGGGACAGCCGCTCGCCGCCACCCGTGTACCCCCGGGGCAGTCCCGGTCCGGCTCCGCCGCTCGCAGCTTCCCGCTACGGACAACGGCTCCCAGCACGCCCCGCGGCGGCGCTAGGTCACATGGTGCGCGGTGTCGGTGCCCGGTACCGGCGGGGCCTCTCCGGCGGCAGCGCAATGGGGCAGTGGGTCCTGCGGCTGCCCCGGGCCGTGGCGGTTTTGGCCCTCTTGGCCTTGCGCGGAGCGGCCGCCGCCGCCCCCAACTTCGTCCTGGTGCTGGCGGACGATTTGGGCTTCGGGGACCTGGGCAGCTACGGGCACCCCTCGTCTGCCACGCCGCACCTGGACTGGATGGCGTCCCGAGGGCTGCGGTTCACCGACTTCTACAGCAGCTCCCCCGTGTGCAGCCCGTCCCGGTACGTGCCCCGCGGCTCCCAGCCCGCTGGCCGGTGGCTGCTGCGGGGCCCCGGGGAGGGCACCGAGCTCGGGAAGCGTCGGGGCAGGGCTGGGCACCCACCGGGAGCTGCGGTGCTGGGAGGAACGGGGTGGGGGGGTGAGGAGGTCGCTGTGCCCTGGGGGCTGCTCGGTGCGGGGCCGGTGCAGACCGGATATATGCTGCCGGGGCAGCTGTGGGCTGCCAGGGCCCGAGGCGGGGATAGGGATCCCTCTTTGGGGAGGGACCCGTGCCGTGCTCTATCCGGTCTTCTCTCCCCTAGGGCAGCCCTGCTGACAGGCCGGTTCCAGATGCGCTCTGGGGTCTACCCGGGGGTGTTCAGCCCAGGCTCGCGGGGGGGGCTGCCGCTGTCTGAGGTCACCATTGCAGAGGTGCTGAAGGCTGCGGGCTATGCCACAGCCATGGTTGGCAAGTGGCACCTTGGCTTGGGGATGAATGGCTCCTTCCTGCCTGTCCACCAGGGCTTTGACCACTTCTTGGGGATCCCTTACTCCCATGACCAGGTGAGAGGCCTGCCGAGCTCTGAGGGGTGTCCTGGAACTGGCTGGGGGCAGTGCCCCACAGATGAAGCTGCTTGAGAGCATGTGGGGCAGGCCGGTGCTTTCCTGGGCAGATGGGTGAGGGTGGCTGCAGGCCAGGGAGATGGGTGCTGATGGAGAAAGGCCATCTGAGGTGCTCGTGTTGTTGGGTACTTGTGCATGGGGACATTGTCCTTTGTCAGGGGAGAGAGGGTCAGATTCTGGGCTACAAAGAAACATCTGCAGAGCTTCCATGAGAAATTGGGGTGAGGCAGTATGATCCTTGGATGGGTGGGTGGGCACAGAGCCCTGGCCTTCTGGGAGAGGCTCCCCAAAGGGTGCCTGTAGGACCTTGTGGTGGGCTGCTGTGAGAGTGCTCCCCTCCCTGTCCTGCAACACAGGTAAACCAAAAGGTGTTACTTGTTCTCTCCAGGGCCCCTGCCAGAATCTCACCTGCTTCCCACCTGACATCAAGTGTTTTGGGACTTGTGACCAAGGTGTAGTGCCAGTCCCACTCCTCTGGAACCAGAGCATTGTGCAGCAGCCGGTCTCTTTCCCTGATCTGGTGCCACTCTACAACAAATTCTCACGGAACTTCATCGCTGACTGCGCCCGACAAGGCATCCCCTTCCTGCTCTACTATGCCTCCCACGTAGGAGAGGGGAGCACTGTTGCGGGTCCAGGGGTGGGGAAGGGACCCTTTATCCTCCATGGAGAGCAGCGAGTGTCTCAGCTCCTGCAGCCCAGCACTGTGCTGAGTAGTCAGTACCTGCTGCTGGGTGACCTGGGGGTGGTGCTCATGTGCCCTTGCCTTGTGGCAGCACCGTGCTTATGATGTTCTTGGGCTGCTTCTTTCTGGAGCTTTGCCTGCTTCCCTGGGCCAAGTGTTCACCCAGGAAAACTTCCCACCCCAAGTCTGCACGTCTCCTTTGTGCCATTTCTGAGAGATGCTTCTGAAGCTTGGGGACAAGCCTTTTTTCACCTCATGGGTATTGTCACCTATCTCCATGTCCTAGCTGGGGTGCTGACCGTCTCTGGGTGAACTGGGAGCAAGAAGCAGCTCTGGGAGTTTTCGTAGCGGTCTTCTCTGCCCTTTCTCCAGCATACCCACTACCCCCAGTTTGCAAGCCAGGAGTACACAGGGCAGTCACGGCGTGGGCCATTTGGAGATGCACTTGCAGAGTTTGATGGTTCAGTGGGACAGCTGCTACAGGCACTGCAGGAAAGTGGCCTTGTAAACACAACCTTGGTGTTTTTCACCTCTGACAATGGGTGAGTGGGCTCAGCTGGGGGGACTTCGTTACTGGTAAGATTCTGGATCCATGGTGCGAGGGAAGTGGCATGAGGCATTGGTTTGCTTGGGGAAAGGGCACATGGCATTGTCAGGTGAGATCTCCATGACCTGAAGTGAGACAAGAGGTGGATCCTGCTCTGGAGAGGACCCAGTGCATGATCTGCTCCTTGTTCTTGTGACTCAGCTGTGCCCCTTGTGGACAGAAACCTCACAGGGTTCAGGCCAGGAGTGGCCAGTAGCCCAAATAGACCCAGTTCCATTGGTGTGGGGGTGTAGTTGGTCTCTGGTGCTCTGCTTAGGCCTCTTGCACACCTTGGCTTCTTCACCTGCCCCATGCCTCCCGCCTCCTGAGGCTGAGAAGGATGGCAGTGTCACTTGCTAACACCATGTCTCTCTTGTCATGACCCTCTTAGCAGTACTAGGGAAGGGGTAGTGTGGACCTGTGAAACTTGATGGTAGATGGTTCTTCTCTCTCACAGCCCTTCCACCTTGCGGATGGCACGTGGAGGCAGCTCTGGCCTTCTGAAGTGTGGGAAGGGCACAACATACGAAGGTGGTATGCGGGAGCCAGCAGTGGCTTATTGGCCAGGCCGTATCACTCCAGGTGAGACTTGGCACTGCTTGTCCCTTTTGAGTGCTGATGCCAGCTGAAGCAGCTTGGCTGCCCCGGGACAAGCAGAGGATGGAAGGGAAGTGGGAATGCAGGGATGGGAGTGGGATCAGGTACTTGAATGTTTCCTTGTGCCTGGCTGTGGTGAGTGATAGGAGTGACGCATGAGCTGGCAAGCACCCTGGACATCCTGCCAACACTGACTGCCCTGGCTGGAGCATCTCTTCCCAAAGTTGCCCTGGATGGCTATGACCTGAGCCCGGTGCTGTTTGGGTCGGGGAAGGTGAGTCTTGAGGGCTGGTCTGGCCTGGGAAGCAGCTTCTTCAGGCTGCTTTAACAACTGCAGCATGTTGCCAAGCCCAGTCCATGGCTGCAGTGCATGGGCAGAGCCCCAGTATCTCTGAGTAGGGCGCAGTCAATGCTGCTGCTCGTCAGCTCCCCCCCCCCATCTGGCCATGTGTTCACTGCAGCATCTGTGCTCCGTGTAGCATCCCTGGAGTCTCTGCCTGGCCCTGTTGCAGACTCTTTAGCCTCGTGGCTGGATGGGTGAGCTTCACTCTGCTGCTTCCCACAGAGTCCCCGTCAGACGATGTTCTTCTACCCGCCATCCCCTGATCCATTGCATGGTCCCTTCGCTGTCAGGCTTGGGAAGTACAAGGCCCATTACTTCACACAAGGTTAGTGCTGCCTTCTCTCCTCTGCATAGCAGCTTTATGATGTCCCACTTGGTTTTGCTGTCCAAAGCTCCAAGAGAAGAAACTGAGCTGCTCCAGGGGATTCTTTTGCAGGTTCCTTGCACAGTGATACAACCCCAGATGAGGCCTGCCATGGGCTCACCCCGCTGACACCCCACCTGCCCCCACTGCTGTTTGACCTGGAGTCTGACCCAGCTGAGAACTACGATCTGCTGCAGAGCGGTGTGGGGCCAGAGCTTCTGCAGGTCCTGAAGGAGATCCAACTGCACAAAGTGCTTTTTGAGCAGCGCATGGAGTTTGGGGGAAGCCAGATCAGAAAGGGCAGGGATCCTGCCCTGCAGCCCTGCTGTGTACCAAACTGCACTCCTAAGCCTTCCTGCTGCCACTGCTCCTAACCTCTTGCTGCTCTACCTCCATACTGGAACACTATCCCAAACCCACCAGACACTCTTACCCTGAGCTGCCAGAGAAATCGGGCTCTTCCTCATGGCACCTTAAATCCTGTCAACTTTTAACTGTTTGCTGTGGTCAGCAATTTCTCTCATCATGCTCAGGAGTTCCCCCTAGTCAGTTCAGTTTGCTAATGCTTATGCCAACCCCTGAATGTGAGCTTGCGTGCTTTAATGCAAACAACCGGCGTTGTCTGCATGGCACATCTGTTTTTCCTACCCTCTTCCTAGTCTCGATTGGCCAGTCTTACTCATCCAGTAGAGGCTCTGAGCACCCTTCTCTCTGAGCAGGCAAAGTTTCAGCCCCTTTGGGAGACCACTTCTCTTTGTGCCTGAGTTAACTGCCTGCAGCCTCATTTTGCAGGTGCTGGGCATGGAAGTGCTTGCCTTGCACAGGAGACTGAGTTGTACTGATGCATGATAGCTGTGAAAACAGCTAGCTTTATTTCAGGAACAAGTCAACATTTGTCTGAATTATGAAGAGCATGGAAAGATGGAGCAGGCCTTTGATAGTGAGGCAGCTTTTGAGTAAGCATGCATTGCCCCAGAGGGAAATGGCTGTGGTACACTGCAGCCTACCCTGGCTCCTGTTCATCCTGCTGCTGAAAGCCTTTTTTCCTTTAGGGCCTTCAGGAGCTCCTGCACCTGAGTAAGGGTTTCACCAGCTTCTGTTGTGGAAATGGGCAGGAGTTAATGGTGCCTGATTCTGTTGGTCTTGGCTTTGGCTTTGACTTTGATTTTGGCTTTGGCTTTGGCCTTGGCCTCTGAGTAGGAGGTGAGGTGAAGACTGGCTGTAGTGTTGGATTAGCTGTTGTTCCTGGGTGCAGTCCCATCTGTACGAGGATCCATTCATAGAAGTGCAGAGTGGAGGTGTAGACTCCTGGCTGTTGTGCTCTCACGCAGCCTTTCCCCCAGCTGGTCACTCCCACAACCCAGTAGTAGTCAGCATTGTTATCTTTGCATGCAAGGGGACCACCACTGTCACCCTGCAGCGGAAGAGAGTAGATGAGGGTGCTGTTGGTGGCCATTGGCACTAAGGCTGGCTCCTTCTCTCACAGAGCTGCCAGAGCTGCATTCACTGCACAGAAGCTCTGCTCA